GGTGCCGAATTTCACCCCTTCGAATTGTTACGCGAATGTTCTCGATGCATCTCGTATGTTACATGCGCGACTCGATGTTTTGAGTAGCTATATATTGTGATTGCTTTGTATGCATGATATACTGAAAATCAGAGTTTTCTATACACGGTTCAACTCGACACAAAATCCAGAGACTTTCTATCCTTCAATCTTAGAGCACTACCTAGCACGTTGAAAGCCGTATCTCAGCCGATACTTGGGCGAATTACGTGTTCTACGGCTCCTTGGAAAGCCAAGAGTGTGCTCTAGTGATTAGTACAAATCCCAGTTCCTGCAAAGTAGAGGAGAGTCCTTTACATCACCATTCCCCACAATGACGTTTGAATCTGGCACAACAATTGGATACCAATCTGTTCCGACAGCTCTTCCCGAAAAGTTGATCCCATACTCTGACTCTGAAGATTGTTTGATGAATCCGAATGCCCTCCTCAACCATACCTTGGCCAACAGCCTTCACCACAGCTGATCAGCCGTCTTTCCATCTCCGTTCCCTTCTCTCCACACCTCAATCCATCTCACACTCATTTTCTTTTACCTCCCTTCCCCCTTCCGCCGCCAGGCAAAGCCCCCCTTCACCCTGGGTGACCTGCGTCGAGCCATCCCCCCCCACTGCTTCCAGCGCTCCACCCTCCGCTCCTTTTCCTACCTCCTCATAGATCTCGCCTTCGCCGCCTTATTCCTCTACGCCACCACGCGATTCGACGACATCCACCAACTCGTAGATCCGGCCGTTGAACCGCTCCTCCCGGCGCATCTCCAGCCGTACGTTGGGCCGGCGGTGTCGGTTATCCTGTGGGGGCTGTACACGTGGCTGCAGGGGTGCGTGTGCACGGGCCTGTGGGTGATCGCGCACGAGTGCGGCCATGGCGCGTTTTCGGATTACGCGTTCGTGAACGACACGGTCGGCATGGTGGTGCACTCCTGGCTGCTCGTGCCTTACTTCTCCTGGTGAGCCGAGGAATCTGAACATCAGGACGAACTGTCTGGTGACTTCTGAGAGACTAAGGCAAAGGGAATGCGTATTTTGAGCGGAAAAAGCCAACGAAACCAACCATGCTCAGAATTTCTCCGAATAATGCCGTCGTGGAAAATCCTCTTGCTTCTACTTTTCTCCTGACCCTTTCTCAAGGTTTCCTTTGAGTCGCGTATGTGACTCTTCGTTAGAGCGCCACATGACAGATCCCTGACCCCCTTTCCAGCCCCTTGCCCAGCTCCATCTCCCGTCCCATCTCCCGTCCCATCTCCCGTCCCATTTCCCGTCCCAGAAACTAAAAGCCTTTCTCTCTTTCCGCACTCATCAGTTCACCAGCTAACTCCCACTACCACCCCTTTCCAAAACACAACATGTTGACGCCTCGCCACCCGCTTGCTCCCCTTCCTGAGGAGATCCAATCCTGAACACGCCAACCCCTCTCTTACCACCTCCTTGTTGTTGGGTAGGAAATACAGCTAACGCCGCCACCACAGGAACTGAACGTTCACCACCCTCCTCTCCTCCCCTCTCCTCCCCACCCCTTCTCCTCTTCCCCCCTTCTTCCTCGGTCATTTCGATTGAGCAGGAAGTACAGCCACCGCCGCCACCACAGCAACACGGGCAGCCTGGAGAACGACGAGGTGCGATTGCAAACAGTGGAAACGTAGTTAAGAAAACGTGGTATTGCATAGGGTGGTTTAGATGGGGTGTGACTGCATGTGCAAGTAGCATGGTGTGCGTGATTGCAAGAACAAGTGCGGTGCTTATAAGGTGTCGTGATCACATGCACAAGCCGCATGGTTTAGATGGGGTGTGACTGCATGTGCAAGTAGCATGGTGTGCGCGATTGCATGCACAAGTGCAATCGCCACGCCAGGTGTTTCGTGCCCATTTTCATCACCCCTTTTCCTCCCTATTTCTGGTGTGTCTGGTCATTCCCTATCACCCCCGCGCCAGGTGTTTGTGCCGGCGCGCAGGGAGCAGCTGGGGGCCGTGTCAGAGTACCTGCAGCACCCCTTTGGGCGCGTGCTCTCCATCTTCATCACGCTCACCCTCGGCTGGCCGCTCTACCTCGCCTTCAACATGTCGGGCCACGAATTCAAGGGCGCCCACGCCAACCACTTCAGCTTCAGCCCCTACTCATGGATTCCTGGCCCTCCCCCTCTTCTCACTTGCCCCTCCCTCTTCCGCCCTCCCTCTCACCCCTCCCCTCTCGCCTCCTCCTCACGCCAGGTGTTTGTGCCGGCGCGCAGGGAGCAGCTGGGGGCCGTGTCAGAGTACCTGCAGCACCCCTTTGGGCGCGTGCTCTCCATCTTCATCACGCTCACCCTCGGCTGGCCGCTCTACCTCGCCTTCAACGTGTCGGGCCACGAATACAAGGGCGTAGCCAACCACTTCAGCCCCTACTCGGGGATCTTCTGCGATCGAGAGCGGTTCTGGGTGGTTGTCAGCGATCTGGGGCTGCTGGGAGTGCTCGGGTGTCTCTACTCCCTCGGCTCTGCCTATGGCCTCGCGTGGGTGTTTAAGGTACGGGTGCTGTAGCATGGTTGTAGCACGGCTGTAGCATAGTTTAGCATGCCACTAGGTGTATGTGTGTCCGCTGCTGATAGTGAACATGATTCTGTTTCTGGTGCTCAATGCTCATCACGCTGTTGCACCACACACACCCCGCCTTATTATCACTGCTCCTGCCCCCCCTTTTCTCCCACCACTTTCCCCTTGTCCCTCTCCAGTTGTACGTGTGTCCTCTCCTGATTGTCAACATGTTCCTCGTGCTCATCACGCTGTTGCAGCACACGCATCCTGCCCTGCCGCACTTTGACTCGACCGAATGGGACTGGCTGCGAGGGGCGCTTGCCACTGTCGACCGCGACTATGGCTACCTCAACATCGGTGAGCCCACAGTGCAGTGCAGTGCGGTAGAGTGCGGTGCAGTAGTGTGCAGCAGGGAGGATGCTCATCACGCTGCTGCAGCACACGCATTGACTAATGAACAACCCCATGCGGATTCCCCCTCGTCCTCCTACCTTATCCCTTCCCCCCTCCGCCAGTGCACCATCACATCGCGGACACCCACGTGGCACATCACATGTTCTCCACCATGCCTTTCATTACTACCTGAACAACCCCTTGCCCACTGTATTCCCCCTTGCCTCCCCGTTCCCCTCTTACCCCTCTCCCCGCACTCACAGTGCACCATCACATCGCGGACACCCACGTGGCGCATCAAATATTCTCCACCATGCCGCACTACCATGCGGAGGAGGCCACACGAGCCATCAAACCCATCCTAAAGGATTACTACCAGTTTGACGGCTCTCCTGTCGTGAAAGCGCTCTGGCGGGAGGTGTCTCAGTGCGTCTGTGTGAGTACCAGCCCTTCTGACTGCTGTACTATTATATCTGAAAGAAGCAACCATGCCAGCAAGAAGCAACCATGCCAGCAAGAAGCCAGCAAGAAGCAACCATGCCAGCAAGAAGCAACCATGCCAGCAAGAAGCAACCATGCCACACTATCATGCGGAGGACGTCACACGAGCCAAAGCCCTTTATCAAGGACTAGTGCCAATTTGACGGCACGCCTATCGTGAAAGCGCTCTGGCGGGAGGTGTCCCAGGGCGTCTGTGAGTGCGTACCCATCTGATAGTTGTAGTTGTGCCTATTGTTGAGGTGAAGCGCGCCTCACAAGGAGGAGGAGGAAGAGGTCACCTGAGCCATCAATCCCATTCTCTAGGACTTTTATGCTACCAATTTGACGGTACACCTGTCCTGAAGGCCGTTCCCTGCTCCCGAGCCCTAAACTGCTCTTGATCTTTCTTATTGCTTGTTCCATCACACCTCACCCCACTGTCCTCTCATTCGCTCTGGGACTTCTCAAGTCAATACTCCTTTCTTTCCTTATCCACTATCTTGGCTCCCAAAATTGCTGCCTAACGCTTTCCGCACTACCATATCTCCCTCATGCCCTCCTCTCACTCCCCCATTCTTCCCCCTCTCCACCCCTTTCGCCTCTCTTGCAGGTTGCTCCTGATGCAGATGGGCCTAAGGGCGTGTACTGGTATTCAAACAAGATCAAGTAAACCAGCATCAAAGTCAAGTTAGCAACAAGTCAGGCCATGGAAAGTCAGCTTGAAAGCAAGAGTGAACATGATCAGGGTTCATTGAAGCATTCAGCAAGCAGCTGATGCACAGCAGAAGCTGGTATTTTTGTTTGTATTTGCTTCTTAAAAAACATGATATTGCTGGTTAATTGTGTTGTGGGTGTGACTCATTCATTATATATTGAATGGCAGACAACACAACAGATTGTAGCAGTGTAGTCCCCACATCACTCTCCCTAGCTTCCTGTCGTTGCCTCCCTCACCCCCCTGTGGTGCAACCTGCTATGAATTCACCAACTGAGCTTCCACCAGCTATCCTGAAATTTTGACAGCCTTTTCACGACTCACTATGGTTACACCAACGTACGGTAATGGTTGGTGTTGGTTACACCAACGTAACAAAGATAATGGTCTTGGTCCAAAGGCAGAACTCCAGTACCATCTGCCACAACTAACTAAACTAAGGTCCACGGACCGTCAGAATCGGACCGGTCCGTTACCCAGTCCACCACCGGATCTATGGGTCGTGTTTAGAGTCGACTCAAAATACGTGCGCTACCCAGTGCACCACCGGATCTATGGACGCAGTTCCCCAGGCGCCTCCGATGAGTAAATTCTGAGCTGAGGCAGGCACTGAAAGGTTGCTTGCTTGCTGTCACAAAGCCAAGGGTCTTGAAGCCCAGAACGGACAGGAATGGAGCTGTTCCAACTGAGACATGGCAGCTTGGAAGGGCTGCTCTGCTCCCCATGCACCACCACACACACCTGCACCTCTACCCCACTACCACCTGATGGATGGGTTCTAGTAATCGCCTCAGAAACAGGTTCTTTCTGAGGCGCCAGAAGATTGCTACAACAAAGCTAGACGTCGAAAGGACCAAAAGAGGACTACAGCTGCTGCAATTGTGAGACGATGGGCGGGGGAACGCGGGCCATGGCGGCTTGGAAGAGCTGCTCCCCATGCACCGCCACACACGCCTGCAGCTTCTCCTTGAGGAACGGCCCCACTGCTACTCGGTGCACTGGGTCTATAGACGCTACTTGCCGCCGCCTCAGCGCCTCGCACTCCACGGGCGCTCCTTCTCCCCCCTGAATGGAGTCGGATACAGAAGCGTAGTCATATCTACACGGAGGGCAGGGCAGAAAAGAAGGTGGGGGGACAGAGGAAAAAGGAGAGAGAGGAGGATTTATGGACGCTACTTGGCGCCGCCTGCAGCTTCTCCTTGAGGAACTGCCCCAGTGCTACTCGGTGCACGGGGTCTATAGACGCTACTTGCCGCCGCCTCAGCGCCTCGCACTCCACCGGAGCTCCCTCTCCCCCCTGAATGGAGTCTGAAACAGATGCATAGTCGTAGCTGCAGGGGTGATAGAGGGGTTGGAGGGGGAAGAAGGGGCAAAGGGGGGTGCGTGGGGGGATACAGAAAGGGGCAGAGGAGGCCAGTCGGTAAACTAGGGTAGAACATAAAGGGACTTGAACCAATCATGAACCTCCTCCTTTAGGAACGGCCCCACTGCTACCCAGTGCACGGGGTCTATGGACGCCACCTGGCGCCGCCTCAGCGCCTCGCACTCCTCGGCTGAGCTAGAGGCTGGTCGCAACCAGACAGCAGCTGCAGCAGTGGCAAGGAGGGAAGTCAGCAAGGTGAGCAGTCGGCAGAGGGCAACAGTAGAAACTCACCCAACGGTTGAGATGTCTGGCAGTAATGGCGTGTTGTCGGGATTGTCCTCCCCCAGCGACCCGGTGCAGACAGAGAGAATGAGATCGAGTCTCTCAACCAAACAGCAGCGACAGCAGCAGCAGTAGCAGGAAGGAGGGCAGCAGAAACTCACCCAACGGTTGAGATGTCTGGCAGTAATGGTGTGTTGTCGGGATTGTCCTCCCCCAGAGAGCCGGTGCAGACAGAGAGAATGAGATCCATTCTCTCTAATATTTGTGGCTCTGGCATCGTCAGCAGCACTGCTAGGGCCAGAGTGGAGAGTTTCCGTTTCGCCGGGACCGAGACAGAGTTGACCTGTAAGGAAAAAAGTGAGTGAGGGAGGGAGGGAGGGGGGGGGGCAGGACGAGCAGCGCCTTTGAGGTGCCTCAAAAGTAGACGGTGAGAATGAGTTTTAGACTCTCTAGTGACTGCAACTATGGCATTGTCAGCAGCACTGCTAGGGCCAGCGCAGGGAGCTTTCGTTTTGCTGGGACTGAGACAGATTCGACCTGTGGGTGAGAGAGAGAGACGGAGGAGAGGAGTGAGGGAGAGACAGGAGTGAGCTACTAATGAGACAGGAGTGGGCAGCGGGTGGAGAAACGGAGTTGCCTACCTTATCCAACCAAGCATCCAGAAAGTGGGCGAGCGAAGGCGCGTTACCCTTTGCTGCTGACTGCTGCTGCAGCAGGTGGCGGGTCGATTCGGCGGATATGAACTGGGCGAAATAGGAGCTGCTTGAAAAAGAGAGAGAAAGATACAGGAGTGGTAGGGCCTACCTTATCCAACCAGGCATCTAGGAAGAGGGCGAGAGGAGGCGCGTTTCCCTTTGCTGCAGACTGCTGCTGCAGCAGGTGGCGGGTGGAGTCGGCAGATATGAACTGGGCGAAATAGGAGCTGTTCTGCAGCACCACCCGTGCGAGCACTGTAGCGCATGTGCCTCTAACGAGGTCAGAGTATTCTGTTGGGCCGACAATCATCAGCAGCAGTTTCTGCAATGCGGGGTGAAGGATGGGACGACGAATATGGCTTCGGTAAGAAACTAAGGAATGGGCATGACTGCTTGCGTTTTTATTTCCTCGAACTGACACAAGAAAGCAAGCAAGAAATGGCATCGCAAACTTGCTTCTAGTGCACACTGAAGCAGCAGAATCAGCAGATCTTCCTATCTACTGCTGATTGTCACCTGAAGGACAGACTCGAGAGCAGGAGGCGCCTCTGATGGATAACACTGCAGAAATTACACGGGGCGACAAGAAACAGTCAGTTTCTTTAGACGGCGCAACATGGTTGGCAGCAAGAAGCGCCTCTGATAGATAACACTGCAAAAAAGAGACACAAGGCAATGCAAACCACAAGTACTAAGACGCACAAAAAAAAAAACACTGATTTCTTTCTTGCAGTCGCATGAGCAGCAGCATTGCCTTCTCCTTCACATTCCTCCCCACCGCGTCAATCATCCCCACCAGGCTAGCCTTCCCATATGCCATTGCCCGACTCACTACACAGACGCTAGCCATACAACCCCCTCACTCACCTGAATGATCAAATCTTCAAGCCCTGAAACAAGCAGAATCGCCTTCTCCTTCACATTCCCCACCATCGCGTCAACCATTGTCACGAGGCTTCTCACTTGCTTTTGAAAGGGCCTCAAGAACCAGTCTCACACCTGAATGATCAAATCTACAAGCCCCGCCACCAGCAGCATCGCCTTTTCCTTGACATTCCCCACCACCTCGTCATCAATCATCCCCACACCAAGGCTCCCTGGGTGCTTTTTGAGCTGTCTCAAGAACCAGTTTCTCACCTGGATAATCAAATCCACAAGCCCCGCCACCAGCAGCATGGCCTTTTCCTTCACGTTCCCCACCACCGCATCAATCATTGTCACCAGGCTGCCGGCATGCTGCTGCAGGAACGCTGGCCCGCCCACCAGCACATAGCTCTCCATTATTGCTGTTGCCACCTGGGGAGAGGATGAAGTAAGGGACCAACACGATGTGGCATGGCTTTATATACGATGCACGCGTGTTGCTGCTGCAGGAATGCCGGCCATCCCACCAGCACATAGCTCTCCATTATTGCAGTGGCTACCTGGCAGTTGGGAGTGGGGAACAGTCAGCGTAGCATAGGTAGGGTAAACATTAGAAACACGCAGGCGGTAGACAAACGTGCAACCATGCGGCCGCAGGAACGCTGGCCCACCAACCAGCACATTCTCCATGATGGCGGTCACTACCACGCGCGACTTGGTCCGCGCGCGCGCCTTGATCCACGCGCACGCCTTGGTCCATGCGCGCGCCTTGGTCCACGCGCGCGCCTTGGTCCACGCGCGCGCCTTGGTCCACGCGCACGCCTTGATCCACGCGCGCGCCTTGATCCACGCGCGCGCCTTGATCCACGCGCGCGCCTTGATCCACGCGCGCGCCTTGGTCCACGCGCGCGCCTTGATCCACGCGCGCGCCTTGGTCCACGCGCACGCCTTGGTCCATGCGCGCGCCTTGGTCCACGCGCGCGCCTTGGTCCATGCGCACGCCTTGATCCACGCGCGCGCCTTGGTCCACGCGCGCGCCTTGGTCCACGCGCGCGCCTTGGTCCACGCGCGCGCCTTGGTCCACGCGCGCGCCTTGGTCCACGCGCACGCCTTGATCCACGCGCGCGCCTTGGTCCACGTGCGCGCCTTGGTCCACGCGCACGCCTTGATCCACGCGCGCGCCTTGATCCACGCGCGCGCCTTGATCCACACGCGCGCCTTGGTCCACGCGCGCGCCTTGGTCCACGCGCGCGCCTTGGTCCATGCGCACGCCTTGATCCACGCGCGCGCCTTGGTCCACGCGCACGGCTTGGTCCATGCGCGCGCCTTGGTCCACGCGCGCGCCTTGGTCCATGCGCGCGCCTTGGTCCACGCGCGCGCCTTGGTCCACGCGCGCGACTTGGTCCGCGCGCGCGCCTTGATCCACGCGCGCGCCTTGGTCCATGCGCGCGCCTTGGTCCACGCGCGCGCCTTGGTCCACGCGCGCGACATGGTCCGCGCGCGCGCCTTGGACCACGCGCGCGCGCGCCTTGATCCACGCGCACGCCTTGATCCATGCGCGCGCCTTGGTCCACGCGCGCGCCTTGGTCCACGCGCGCGCCTTGGTCCACGCGCACGCCTTGATCCACACGCGCGCCTTGATCCACGCGCGCGCCTTGATCCACGCGCGCGCCTTGGTCCACGCGCGCGCCTTGGTCCACGCGCGCGCCTTGGTCCAGGCGCACGCCTTGATCCACGCGCGCGCCTTGGTCCACGCGCACGCCTTGGTCCATGCGCGCGCCTTGGTCCACGCGCGCGCCTTGGTCCATGCGCACGCCTTGATCCACGCGCGCGCCTTGGTCCACGCGCGCGCCTTGGTCCACGCGCGCGCCTTGGTCCATGCGCGCGCCTTGGTCCACGCGCGCGCCTTGGTCCACGCGCACGCCTTGATCCATGCGCGCGCCTTGGTCCACGCGCGCGCCTTGGTCCACGCGCACGCCTTGATCCACGCGCGCGCCTTGATCCACGCGCGCGCCTTGATCCACGCGCGCGCCTTGGTCCACGCGCGCGCCTTGGTCCACGCGCGCGCCTTGGTCCGTGCGCACGCCTTGATCCACGCGCGCGCCTTGGTCCACGCGCACGCCTTGGTCCATGCGCGCGCCTTGGTCCACGCGCGCGCCTTGGTCCATGCGCGCGCCTTGGTCCACGAGCGCGCCTTGGTCCACGCGCGCGACTTGGTCCGCGCGCGCGCCTTGGACCATGCGCGCGCGCGCCTTGATCCACGCGCACGCCTTGATCCATGCGCGCGCCTTGGTCCACGCGCACGCCTTGATCCATGCGCGCGCCTTGGTCCACGCGCGCGCCTTGGTCCACGCGCACGCCTTGATCCACGCGCGCGCCTTGATCCACGCGCGCGCCTTGATCCACGCGCGCGCCTTGGTCCACGCGCGCGCCTTGGTCCACGCGCGCGCCTTGGTCCATGCGCACGCCTTGATCCACGCGCGCGCCTTGGTCCACGCGCACGCCTTGGTCCATGCGCGCGCCTTGGTCCACGCGCGCGCCTTGGTCCATGCGCGCGCCTTGGTCCACGAGCGCGCCTTGGTCCACGCGCGCGACTTGGTCCGCGCGCGCGCCTTGGACCATGCGCGCGCGCGCCTTGATCCACGCGCACGCCTTGATCCATGCGCGCGCCTTGGTCCACGCGCGCGCCTTGGTCCACGCGCGCGCCTTGGTCCATGCGCACGACTTGATCCACGCGCGCGCCTTGGTCCACGCGCGCGCCTTGGTCCACGCGCGCGCCTTGGTCCATGCGCACGCCTTGATCCACGCGCGCGCCTTGGTCCACGCGCGCGCCTTGGTCCATGCGCGCGCCTTGGTCCATGCGCGCGCCTTGGACCACGCGCGCGCGCGCCTTGATCCACGCGCACGCCTTGATCCACGCGCGCGCCTTGGTCCACGCGCGCGCCTTGGTCCACGCGCGCGCCTTGGTCCATGCGCACGCCTTGATCCACGCGCGCGCCTTGGTCCACGCGCACGCCTTGATCCACGCGCGCGCCTTGGTCCACGCGCGCGCCTTGGTCCACGCGGGCGCCTTGGTCCACGCGCACGCCTTGATCCACGCGCGCGCCTTGGTCCACGCGCGCGCCTTGGTCCACGCGCGCGCCTTGGTCCACGCGCACGCCTTGATCCACGCGCGCGCCTTGGTCCACGCGCACGCCTTGATCCACGCGCGCGCCTTGGTCCACGCGCGCGCCTTGGTCCACGCGCACGCCTTGATCCACGCGCGCGCCTTGATCCACGCGCGCGCCTTGATCCACGCGCGCGCCTTGGTCCACGCGCGCGCCTTGGTCCACGCGCGCGCCTTGGTCCACGCGCACGCCTTGATCCACGCGCGCGCCTTGGTCCACGCGCACGCCTTGGTCCACGCGCGCGCCTTGGTCCACGCGCGCGCCTTGGTCCACGCGCGCGCCTTGGTCCACGCGCGCGCCTTGGTCCACGCGCGCGACTTGGTCCGCGCGCGCGCCTTGGACCACGCGCGCGCGCGCCTTGATCCACGCGCGCGCGCACCTTGATCCACGCGCACGCCTTGGTCCACGCGCGCGCCTTGGTCCACGCGCGCGCCTTGGTCCACGCGCACGCCTTGATCCACGCGCGCGCCTTGGTCCACGCGCGCGCCTTGGTCCACGCGCACGCCTTGATCCACGCGCGCGCCTTGGTCCACGCGCGCGCCTTGGTCCACGCGCGCGCCTTGGTCCACGCGCGCGCCTTGGTCCGCGCGCGCGCCTTGGACCACGCGCGCGCGCGCCTTGGACCACGCGCGCGCGCGCCTTGGACCACGCGCGCGCGCGCCTTGGACCACGCGCGCGCGCGCCTTGATCCACGCGCACGCCTTGATCCACGCGCGCCCCTTGGTCCACGCGCGCGCCTTGGTCCACGCGCGCGCCTTGGTCCACGCGCGCGCCTTGGTCCACGCGCACGCCTTGATCCACGCGCGCGCCTTGATCCACGCGCGCGCCTTGATCCACGCGCGCGCCTTGGTCCACGCGCGCGCCTTGGTCCACACGCACGCCTTGATCCACGCGCGCGCCTTGGTCCACGCGCACGCCTTGGTCCACGCGCGCGCCTTGGTCCACGCGCGCGCCTTGGTCCAGGCGCACGCCTTGATCCACGCGCGCGCCTTGGTCCACGCGCACGCCTTGGTCCACGCGCGCGCCTTGGTCCACGCGCGCGCCTTGGTCCACGCGCACGCCTTGATCCACGCGCGCGCCTTGGTCCACGCGCGCGCCTTGGTCCACGCGCGCGCCTTGGTCCACGCGCACGCCTTGATCCACGCGCGCGCCTTGATCCACGCGCGCGCCTTGATCCACGCGCGCGCCTTGGTCCACGCGCGCGCCTTGGTCCACACGCACGCCTTGATCCACGCGCGCGCCTTGGTCCACGCGCACGCCTTGGTCCACGCGCGCGCCTTGGTCCACGCGCGCGCCTTGGTCCAGGCGCACGCCTTGATCCACGCGCGCGCCTTGGTCCACGCGCACGCCTTGGTCCACGCGCGCGCCTTGGTCCACGCGCGCGCCTTGGTCCACGCGCGCGCCTTGGTCCACGCGCGCGCCTTGATCCACGCGCGCGCCTTGGTCCACGCGCGCGCCTTGGTCCACGCGCGCGCCTTGGTCCACGCGCGCGCCTTGGTCCACGCGCACGCCTTGATCCACGCGTGCGCCTTGGTCCACGCGCGCGCCTTGGTCCACGCGCGCGCCTTGATCCACGCGCGCGCCTTGATCCACGCGCGCGCCTTGATCCACGCGCGCGCCTTGGTCCACGCGCGCGCCTTGGTCCACGCGCGCGCCTTGGTCCACGCGCGCGCCTTGGTCCACGCGCACGCCTTGATCCACGCGCGCGCCTTGATCCACGCGCGCGCCTTGATCCACGCGCGCGCCTTGGTCCACGCGCGCGCCTTGGTCCACGCGCACGCCTTGATCCACGCGCGCGCCTTGGTCCACGCGCACGCCTTGGTCCACGCGCGCGCCTTGGTCCACGCGCGCGCCTTGGTCCAGGCGCACGCCTTGATCCACGCGCGCGCCTTGGTCCACGCGCAAGCCTTGGTCCACGCGCGCGCCTTGGTCCACGCGCGCGCCTTGGTCCACGCGCACGCCTTGATCCACGCGCGCGCCTTGGTCCACGCGCGCGCCTTGGTCCACGCGCACGCCTTGGTCCACGCGCGCGCCTTGGTCCACGCGCGCGCCTTGGTCCACGCGCGCGCCTTGGTCCACGCGCGCGCCTTGGTCCACGCGCACGCCTTGATCCACGCGCGCGCCTTGGTCCACGCGCGCGCCTTGGTCCGCGCGCGCGCCTTGGTCCACGCGCACGCCTTGATCCACGCGCGCGTCTTGGTCCACGCGCGCGCCTTGGTGCACGCGCGCGCCTTGGTCCACGCGCGCGCCTTGGTCCACGCGCGCGCCTTGGTCCACGCGCGCGACATGGTCCGCGGGCGCGCCTTGGACCACGCGCGCGCCTTGGTCCACGCGCGCGCCTTGGTCCACGCGCGCGCCTTGGTCCACGCGCGCGCCTTGGTTCACGCGCGCGCCTTGGTCCACACACGCGCCTTGATCCATGCGCGCCTTGATCCACGCGCGCGCCTTGGTCCACGCGCGCGCCTTGGTCCACGCGCACGCCTTGGTCCACGCGCACGCCTTGATCCACGCGCGCGCCTTGATCCACGCGCGCGCCTTGATCCACGCGCGCGCCTTGATCCACGCGCGCGCCTTGGTTCACGCGCGCGCCTTGATCCACGCGCGCGCCTTGGTCCACGCGCGCGCCTTGGTCCACGCGCGCGCCTTGGTCCACGCGCGCGCCTTGGTCCACGCGCGCGCCTTGGTCCACGCGCGCGCCTTGGTCCACGCGCGCGCCTTGGTCCACGCGCGCGACTTGGTCTGCGCGCGCGCCTTGGACCGCGAGCGCGCGCGCCTTGATCCACGCGCACGCCTTGATCCAGGCGCACGCCTTGGTCCACGCGCGCGCCTTGGTCCACGCGCGCGCCTTGCTCCATGCGCACGCCTTGATCCACGCGCGCGCCTTGGTCCACGCGCGCGCCTTGGTCCACGCGCGCGCCTTGGTCCACATGCGCGCCTTGGTCCAGGCGCGCGCCTTGGTCCAGGCGCGCGCCTTGATCCACGCGCGCGCCTTGGTCCACGCGCGCGCCTTGGTCCACGCGCGCGCCTTGATCCACGCGCACGCCTTGGTCCACACGCACGCCTTGGTCCACGCGCGCGCCTTGGTCCACGCGCGCGCCTTGGTCCACACGCACGCCTTGGTCCACGCGCGCGCCTTGGTCCACGCGCGCGCCTTGGTCCACGCGCGCGCCTTGGTCCACGCGCGCGCCTTGGTCCACGCGCGCGCCTTGATCCACGCGCACGCCTTGATCCATGCGCGCGCCTTGGTCCACGCGCGCGCCTTGGTCCACGCGCACGCCTTGATCCACGCGCGCGCCTTGATCCAAGCGCGCGCCTTGATCCAAGCGCTCGCCTTGGTCCACGCGCGCGCCTTGGTCCACGCGCGCGCCTTGGTCCACGCGCGCGCCTTGATCCACGCGCGCGCCTTGGTCCACGCGCGCGCCTTGGTCCACGCGCGCGCCTTGGTCCATGCGCGCGCCTTGGTCCATGCGCGCGCCTTGGTCCACGCGCACGCCTTGGTCCACGCGTGCGCCTTGGTCCACGCGCGCGCCTTGGTCCACGCGCGCGCCTTGGTCTATGCGCGCGCCTTGGTCCACGCGCGCGCCTTGGTCCACACGCACGCCTTGATCCACGCGCGCGCCTTGGTCCACGCGCGCGCCTTGGCCCACGCGCGCGCCTTGATCCACGCGCGCGCCTTGGTCCACGCGCGCGCCTTGGTCCACACGCGCGCCTTGGTCCACACGCGCGCCTTGGTCCATGCGCGCGCCTTGGTCCACGCGCGCGCCTTGGTCCACGCGCACGCCTTGATCCACGCGCGCGCCTTGGTCCACGCGCGCTCCTTGGTCCACGCGCGCGCCTTGGTCCACGCGCGCGCCTTGGTCCACGCGCGCGCCTTGGTCCACGCGCGCGCCTTGGTCCACGCGCGCGCCTTGGTCCATGCGCGCGCCTTGATCCACGCGCACGCCTTGATCCATGCGCGCGCCTTGGTCCAAGCGCGCGCCTTGGTCCACGCGCACGCCTTGATCCACGCGCGCGCCTTGGTCCACGCGCGCGCCTTGGTCCACGCGCGCGCCTTGGTCCACGCGCGCGCCTTGGTCCACGCGCGCGACTTGGTCCACGCGCGCGACTTGGTCCACGCGCGCGCCTTGGTCCATGTGCGCGCCTTGGTCCACGTGCGCGCCTTGGTCCACGCGCGCGACTTGGACCACGTGCACGCCTTGGTCCACACGCGCGCCTTGGTCCACGCACGCGACTTGGTCCACGCACTCGAAGCTGCGGTCCATGATGTTATAACATGCTCGCTGCAACGTTTGCATCAAAAGTCAAATTGCTCACCGGGAGGTGCTCGAAGCTGCGGTCCATGATGGGCACGAGGTTGGAGAAGAGAGACATGAGCTCCGGTACCATGGCTGGTGCATGGCGCAGTGTGGCTTGCCATAGCTGCAGGGGAGGAGTGGAGGGAGGGGTATGAAGAGAGAGGGCAAGAGAGAGCCATGAGTTCCGGTGCCATGGCTGGTGCATGGCGCGGCGCGGCTTGCCATAGCTGTGAGGAGTGGAGGGGAGAGGGTACGAGGAGAGGAGAGAGTGCAAGAGAGAGGCACGAGGTTGGAGAAGACAGCCATGAGTTCCGATACCATGGCTGGTGCATGTCGTAGCGTGGCCTGCCATAGCTACAAGGAGATGGAGGGGCACGCAGAGTGAGAAGAGACAAGGAGAGAGGAGAGAGGCACCAGAGAGAGCTATGGGCTATCGGTACGGTGCTAGAGAGGGCAATGAGTTACGGTGCTAGAGAGGGCAATGAGTTACGGTGCTAGAGAGGGCAATGAGTTACGGTGCTAGAGAGGGCAATGAGTTACGGTGCTAGAGAGGGCAATGAGTTACGGTGCTAGAGAGGGCAATGAGTTACAGTAACCTGGCTGGTGCACGGCACAGCGTGACTTGCCATAGCTGTTAAGAGAGAGGAGAAAGAGATACAAAGAGGCTATTGGAACACCGGGAAGATGAGCAGTTGTGATTAAAGAGGGCTGTGAGGAAGGAGGCCGCAAAGAAAATGGTTTACCTTTTGAGGCGCCTCAAGGGACGTGAGGAAAGAAGGCGCACGGAGAAAGGTTGTTGGTGCTGAGTCTGTTTTTTGAGAATTCTAAAAAAACAGAGAAAGGTTGTTGTAGGTGCTGTATCACAGGATGAGGAAGAGCAGAGAGAGAATAGGATACCTTAGAAGACACACAGCAGGCGGGGAGGGGAGTGGACTCACACAAGAATGGTTCACCTGCAGCCCATCTTCCAGCATGTTGAGCTCATCAGGCTGGGAGATGTCAGTGCTGTATCGCAGGATGGGGACGAGCAGCGGGTAGGAGATTCTCCCATAAGAGGAATATCCTCTCTCCTATGAAGGTATAACTACTACCATTATGCCCCGTACAAAGGAAAAGTTTACCTGAAGCCCGTCTTCCAGCATGTTGAGTTCATCGGGCTGGGAGATGTCGGTGCTGTATCGCAGAATGGGGAAGAGCAGGGGGTAGGAGATGGGGGACTGCGGGCCGAGCGACACGATGAGGCGTTGCAGCGCCTGCATGACTTGAATTCGCAGCAGTGGTTGCCCCTCGCTCTGCTCCCACACCTGGTGGGAGGGGAGGGGAGGGGAGGGAGGAGTGAGGACCGATAACCAGACATAGCTCAGTGAGCTGCGTACGTGCAGGAGGCTTAAAGCAAAGGAAAAAACAGCAGTAGATTTCCGCTCTGTGTACCACTAAGTGCTCCCCATGTACACCTGGTGGGAGGGGAGGGAGGAGTGAGGACCGATAAGACTATGGGAAGGAACTGAGCAAGGGTAATAGAGGGCGGGTGATCATGGGGAACGGCCTAATAGAGAGCATTATGAGAAAGTGAATACGAGCGAAGGTGACTTTTGAGTCGACTCAAAAGTCACCAAGAGGGCGGGTGGGCGTGGGGAACGGGCTAATAGCAGGCATCATGAAAGCGTGAATATGAGCAATATCTGTTAGAAATAGGCTGTCAACACTTTGTGTACCATATTCTATATCGAGTAGGTTATTTGTAGGTTGGGTGTAGTTTGTGATCCCAACCCTATCTGGTTGGGATTCCCTCGTAATCCTGCAAATCTGCCAACTCACCATTGGAGATTTGCCTAGGATTCCCATCCCATCCTTTCCCTAGCTTTGCTCAACCCAACCTTGTTTTGTACTTAAGGCCTAGTGCCTTTCTTACTAACCAATCAGTTCAGCTCCAATTCTATCAATATCATCAATTTTGGCGACAGTAGGTAAGAGGAATGGCGCAAACTGGTAAGACAGGATCGAATATATACCACTCACCTGCGGCAAGCATGACAGGATCTTGTCGGCCAGAGGAACGATTTTCTCCCCCATGCGTTCTATGATGAGAGACACCACGTTCACTATCTGCAGCTGCGAATCGAATTCCGACACCTGCTGCAGGCATCGGAAGAGCAGCTGCACTGCCGTGTCGAGGAATGGAGCAAACTGGTCCTCATAGAAATGCACGTCGTCTATCAGCGTGCGGAGGGAAGAGACTGCCGTGAGCTGGGGAAGGGGCAGAGTGGGGGACGGGGAGGCGGAAGAGCAGACGACACATTGAGGAAGGAAGCGAACTGGTACTCATAGAAATGCACGTCGTCTATCAGCGTGCGGAGGGAAGAGACTGCCGTGAGCTGGGGAAGGGGCAGAGTGGGGGACGGGTAGGCGGAAGAGCAGACGACACATTGAGGAAGGAAGCGAACTGGTCCTTGTAGAAATGCACGACGTCAATCAGCGTGCGCAAAGATGATACTGCTGCGAGCTGTGGAATGGGATTGGGGGTTGCGAGGCGAGGGGTTGAGTGGGAGGCAGGAAGAAACGAGAATAAAATTGATGAAGGGGGCGGACTGATTCTCATAGAAATACACGTCGTCGATTAGCGTGCGGAGAGAGGAGACCGCTGTGAGCTGATGGAGGGGGCGAAATGATGCTCCACCTTTTCCATCCACTGCCTCACTATCCATGCTGCCCAGCCCACCCACTCACAGCTGCTACAGCCCGCACTGCAACGAGCCGCACCGCGCCGCGATGAACCGCATTGCACCGCACTGAACTCACCTGGACCACCAGGTCTTCATCTGGCAGCAGGGAGATGAGCGCCTGGTAGGCTGGCACACACAGGTCGCCCTCCACCTTGCCCACCCACTGCCCCACCATCCACGCTGCCCTCCTGCGCAGGATGCGCGCGTTGGGATGGCGGCATGCCATGTCTGGTAGGAGTGCTGATGTGAACCTGGGATGGGAGGGTGTGAGGAGAGGGGGGGGACTTGTTTCAGAGTTGACTGAGAAAACTTGCCCACCCATCGCCCCACCATCCACAATGCCCTCCTGCGCAGGATGCGCGCGTTGGGATGGCGGCACGCCATGTCTGGGAGAAGCGCTGATGTGAACCTGTGAGGGTGAGGGTGAGGGATAGAATTGGAGTTTGGCTCCTCGTGTGATCATGTGAGGGAGCAACGTTGTGTAAATTATAGCACGCCACCCCCACAGCATCGTAGCATGTGCCTTTGAGCAGCAGAGCCGGGGTGACAGGCACGTCAGGGTTTGGGTAAGGTTCAGTAGCCTCCCACAGCACCATCACTCTCTCACGCACCACGTTTTGAAGTCCACAACGTCGTGTAGATCGTAACACGCCACCCCCACAGCATTGTAGCACGCGTACTTGAGCAGCAGAGCCGGGGTAGGGAGGCACAAGGAGAACCCGAGAGCAGCAGTGCCACCACTCAGTCACTCACCACGTCTTGAAGTCCACGACATCATGCAGGTCATAACAAGCCACCCCCACAGCATCGTAGCACGCGTCCTTGAGCAGCAGAGCCGGGGTCACAGGCACGTCGGCATCGGGGGAAGCAGGCGGGGGGCATGCCTCTATGCACTGCCGTAGCATGTCTATCAGCGCCGGGGATAGGACCTGATGGGAGGGGAGGAGCAGGGAAACAAGGTGAGTTCAAGCGAGCAGCAGAGGCTGGGTCACAGGCACGTTGGCATCGGGAGAAGCGGGCGGGGGGCATGCCTCTATGCACTGTCGTAGCATGTCTAAGAGCGCCGGGGAGAGCACCTGATGGGAGAGATGGTGGGGTAGAGGGAAACAAGGGGAGCTTTAACAGCAGTGTCAGTGGAGCCTGGAGCCACGCAGGCACAACAGCATCAAGGAGCAGGGGCGGCGGCCATGCCTCTATGCACTGCCTTAACATGTCAATGAGTGCTGGGGAGAGGACCTAGTTGGGCGGAGATGGTGGGGTAGCGGGAAACAAGAAGACTATGAGAGCAGCAGAGCTGGGGTGACAGGCACGTCGGCATCAGGAGAAGCAGGTGGGCGGCTTGCCTCTACGCATGTCAACAAGTTCCAGAATCCAGGGGTGGGACCTGATGGGTGAGACGAATCGCATGGTGATACATGGAGAGAGGATGAATGGGAGGTGACATGATTAATTGCTCTGAGATTGAACACGATCATCACCATCAGCACAAGCAGCAGCGCCAAACCTCTTTGAGCTGCTCGAACAGAAGCAGCAGCAGCAGCAGCGCTTCAGTACAGGGCCGCAGTTTGTACTTCCACTGAACTACTCGTAGCACTTGCATGTCATGTCAAGTCATCCTAGCGTACCTCTCTGAACTGCTCGCACAGCGCCTCTGCACACGGTCGCAGCTTGTCCTTCCGCTGCACAGCGCCCTGCTCGTAGCACACACACACACACACCTACCTGCATGGCATGTCATCATGTACCTCTTTGAACTGCTCGAACAGCAGCAATAGCAGCGCCTCAGCACAGGGCCGAAGCTTATCCTTCCACTGCACCGCGCCTTGCTCGTGGTAAAACACCTCTGGGTCCGACCCCCACTCCTCCAAATCTGATGCTGTCAACACCAGGTAGCTGCGGTGAGAGGAACAGGCAAGGAGAGAGAGGAGGGAAACAGGTGAGCAGGGAAGCAGAGCTGGAAAGGTTGAGAGGCGGATAGAGTACAAGAAGGGCCGTAGCTTGTCCTTCCACTGCCAGGCGCCTTGCTCATGATAGAACACCTCTGGGTCCGCCCCCCACTCCTCGAAATCTGATGCTGTGAGAACCAGGTAGCTGCGAGCGAGACAGAGTAGGGCCGCAACAGGTAGGCGGATAATAGACGAGTAAGGAGCACCCTCCCACTCACTCACCCACTCACTCACCGTTCCACGAGCACGCCCCCCAGCAGCACCACTTTCTCCTGGGAAAAGAACCCCTGCAGCTGCTGCCGGGCCACCTTCAGTACCTTCCCCATAGAACATACAATTAGGATATAACTCACCGTTGCACGAGCACGCCCCCCAGCACCACCACTTTCTCCTGTGAGAAGAAACCCTGCAGCTGCTGCCGGGCCATGCCTGACAGCTTCCCCCTCATCTCCTCCGCTGATGCCACTGCCGCCCCCACCACGTGCCCCGTGGGGTTCTGCTTGTATGCCACACAGCGCAGCACACTCTGCAGAAACAGCATACATTCTATCAGAAACAAGCTATGGCTGGATGATGAAGCAGAGGCGGATGCGTCAGTAGCGGCAGCAGCGGCGGCAGCGGCGGTGGTAGCGGGGGTTTGTGGGCTGGTGGCAGCAGCAGCAGGGGTGGAGAGGGAGGAGGAGGAGGAGGAGGTGGGGTCGGTGGTGGTGATTTGGGTGTAGCAGAAGGCGAGGGTGGGCAGGAGGACGTTTTTGGAGGCGAAGGAGAAAGGATGCAGCTCGTGGGAGGCGACGAGCGTCTTGAGCAGCTTGACTGACGCGCGTGAGAGGAAGGTGTGCAGGGGGTCCAGGGCTGGGCGCTGCTGGGAGATATTGCCTGCGTGGGAAGGTGAAGTACAGTGGTGGGCGGGTATGGGCAGTTGGAGAGTAGTTTTAAGTCGACTTCGAGACATGGACGGGGGTTTGTACGTTCGTATGCACCCATGTATGCGATAATCATCAGTAACGAGTCGTTAGAGCACGTATGCATGCATCTCACCGTTATGCATACAGATACGATGGGGACATGAGGGTACGGATGGGATGATGCAAAACGGAATGGTGTGGGGACGGGGTGACAACCCAAGAGGTGACAACCCAAGGGGTGACAAACAAGGGGTGACAAACAAGGGGTGACAAACAAGGGGTGACAAACAAGGGGTGACAAACAAGGGGCTCACGGAAGTTGAGAAGGGACTGAGCTGCTTCAAGAAACGCAGGCACGACTTGTTCCAAAACCGGGACCTCCTGTAAGGGGGACGAATGTTGGAAAGAGATGTGCAGAGAAAGAGTGAAGGAGGGAATTCACAGAGAAAGAAGGCGGGTGGTGGTGACCAAAGGTGGTGGAAACAAAACACATAGACCATGCCACGACACCCGCAGCGAATTACTTGCTAAAGCGTTTTCACCAAGCGTTTCACCAAGCGTTTTCACCAAGCGTTTTCACCAAGCGTTTTCACCAAGCGTTTTCACCAAGCGTTTTCATGAGTGACAACGCAGCGACTTACTTGCCTGAACGGATTTGAAATCAGAAGGGAAACCAAACACGAGCATGCGACGAAGAGTCTTCACACACAGAAGCCACCGCTCACACAACAGCATCAGCGCCCCTCCTGCTGCCCCTGCTGCTGCTGCTGCTGCTGCTGCTGCTGCTGCTGGGTCTGACCCTCCACTCTCAAGGGAGTTTAGTCCCTGCAGCAGAGACCCTGTGTCCCTCACCCAGTGCGCCCAGGTGGGCTCAAACAGCTGGCTGGTCACCTGAGAAAAGGACAAGAAAATGTGGCTGAGAGTCGGCAGAAAATGTGGCGTACACAGCACGTGCTACTACAACTATCTCTTTCCTAGTACCTTGTATCTAGTATCAGCCTTGCTCTTACCTGAGCAAAGGTGCGTTGATCCACGCTGAGGCGCTTAGTTGAGAGTTCCTTAAGCACGTGGTTTAGCACGAGATAGGCGCGCTGTGTGAGCAGAGGATCCTGAGACTGCAGCTTCTGCAGGAGAGTTGGGAATAGCTCGGACCTGGCCTCACATGCATGGCATGATGTGGCATCACATGGCATCACATGGCATCACATGGCATCACATGGCATCACATGGCATCACATGGCATCACATGGCATCACATGGCATCACATGGCATCACATGGCATCACATGGCATCACATGGCATCACATGGCATCACATGGCATCACATGGCATCACATGGCATCATATGGCATCATATGGAAACATATGGCATCACGTGGTAGCACACATGGCACCCCATGCCATCACTAAGCATCACACATGACATCATAACGCATCACACATGGAATCACATAACATGCGTGTGAATGCATGGATGTGAGTGGGGGGGCAGTCAATGCACAGCACAGGCCAGAAAACCAGATACAGTTCTCATGACTCCTGAGCTACTAGACCCAATATCAGACAATTCACATTCCCCACCACTCACGTTTATGCCTCACCACCCACGCCCATGCCTCACTCGCCATTTACGCACACCCATGCAGCATGCCCCACTCACCACTCCCTGGGGTAGTCAATCCGGGCGATCTTGGCAATCAACACGGCCAGCTGCACAGCCACCTGGCTGTTCTCATCTACTACTAGCTCCAGTAGTCTTGCTCTCAACAAAGGCTTCTCCTCGTCCGATATGCCCCTGGATGAGGCGAGGGATGGTGGAACGGAGGGTGTGAGAGAGGATGTGAGAAGGGGTGTGAGCACTGTCTCAGCAATCAGCACGGCCAGCTGCACGGCCACTTGGCTGTTCTCATCTGCTACTAAATCCAGCAACCGTGCTCGCAACACCGGCCGGCTTCTCCTCGTCCGATATGCCCCTGTGCGGGTGAGAGAGATGTGAGGGAGTGTGTGAGGTGAGGGTGAGAGAGGAAGGTCAGGGATGCAGGATGTGGAATGCGGCTATACAACGATCCTGCATCTTCTTAACAAGATTCGAGAGGGCAAGATACAACGATCTCGAATCTTGTTTGCGAACGCGCGAGACTTGCCACATCTCTCTTCTTGCACGCAAGTAACTGATCCTGACATGACATGTCATGCTTGTTAATTGAACAGACTGCTGCCAGCCAAGCATTCACTCCTCATTCTGTGTTTCATCGTGCAGTGAGCGAGTCAGTGACTAGATGTGTGTGTGCCTATACGTGAGTATGCCTATACGTGCGTGCAACTCACTGTGTCTCTCGTCTCGCCCGCCAGTATCTGTTGATGCTATTCTTGAAATAGATCGCTGCCAGCCACCTGGCTCCGCCCTTCTGATCCAGCTCCTTGCGCGATATGATCTCCTGCCGGCATACAGGGAGAGGCGGAGGGGAAAAGAGGGGTTCAGTGAAGGTCCAATGAACTGTCTCATGAATTCAACCACTTGGCTCCGCCCTCCAGATCCAGCTCCTTGCGCGCTATGATCTCAAGCCCGAGCATCAGACAGTGGCGGAGATGGAATATGCACGCATGACAAGAATGCTCTCATCTCAGAATAACGCTTGAAGCTCTCATGATAACGCTTCAGGTTCTCAAGAAAACGCTTCAGGCTCTCATGAAAACGCTTCAAGTTCTCACGAAAACGCTTCAAGCTCCCATGATAACGCTTCAAGCTCCCATGATAACGCTTCAAGCTCTCACAATAATATCAAGGCTAAGAAGTCAAAAGAGAGGGGACCTCCATCTGCCATACCAGGAGACATGAGCAGAAACCCACGCGGGTCTCATACGCGTTAAGAGCCTGCTCCGCCTCTTTCCTTGTAGCCTCGTTAAGAGCTGCTTCTAACAGGTTGTAGATGGGCCCAGCATCTGCTGCGGTCAGCGCCATATCCGCAGCTCCAGCTAGCGATTAAAGAGGTAATGTGAAGAGCCTTGAGCTGCTGAGCTGCAGCGTCCGCCGAACGATCGGACACTACAGCGGGAAATGAAAACGGCAATGGCCCGGATGAGCACTCAGGAAATGCCTGCAGATGGTTGGAGTCGGTTCAGTGTGTGACTGAAACGAGTGCTCGTTACGCACCCTCGGGGCTATGCTGGGTACACCAAAGATTTCGGCGCAAGGAACCTAAATTCGACCAGATTACAAGTGAAGGCGATCTAGGAATCCCAGGCAAGTCCGATCAGGATGCGCGGTGGTACCAATTCCGACTATTGACAGACCATAACACGCTGAAAGGACAACACGTCAAGGCTTAAATTGCCATCACGCGCAAACTACAAGCGCCGTATCGGTAGGAGAATGAGAGGAGAAAGGAAATGAGATAAGAGGGGCCAAGGGTGAGAATTGGGATGGTGCGAGCTTCTAGAAATGAAGGCTGTGAGAATGTGGTGGAAACACCAAGCATGGCTGATGAGATGGGTATAGTGATACTCCGAACTTCCAAGGGCTAATATACTCCACAATCTTTTACGCTTGATTGTTGGTGGATTTTTACTGTAACGACGCTCGCATTTCTTTTCTAGGCACTCTATATGGGGAAAACAAACCTTGGAGGGCTTCCTGGCTCGGGTACGAAGCTAGCGCGAGCAGCTGACAAAAAATGGAAGATTCGAAAGGGTATTTCGGGTGTTTTGGACTCAACAAATTTGGAGAACTGATAACAGACGCTTGAGCGGACTTAGCGAAATCGGAGGCTTGATTTTGGGATCTTCATGATACTTCTGAAATCAGCTCTATACTCCATACACCACAAAATCTCTGGAAAATCCAGAACGAAGGGAAAAAAAAAGACACAGTTTCTTGCCAAACCTAATGGCACACCTCCAACTGGCTCGGTAAAGGCTTGTGGCGGCCTCAGGGGCGGCTTGGTTTGGATGGACTGGATGAGGAAACTTTGCCGAGCCGTACACCGTATGCCCACTGCAGTCTCGTCCCTCCCTCCCTCCACATAACCTTTTCGGTTCGGAGAGCTACGTACCCATGAACAGTACGTCCGAGCCTGGCCTGACCCTTGCTTGGTCCCCCCTCCAGGCGTGGTTGTCAACCGAACCCGAAAGTACGTCCGAAATGCGGCTCAATGAGTCCTGATACGATCTAGAGAGTTTTACAAGGTTGTAGGATGGTTGAATAGGGTATTCTGCAAAAACGTACTTTCGGGACCTGCCTTGAGGACCAAAGTGATAACCACCTACTAAAGTGATTAGTGCACCTACTTCAGACTGTAGCTATACGGAGTAGCCACTGCTTACCGCGTCCATACCGTAGCAGGTTCACAGATGAGGCCGTCCGTTGATTCGACTGTTGCGAGTCTCGGATAGTTGGCAAGGCGCGTTCTCGGTCGGGGGATATGGAAGTACAGGTAAGTGAAAGCATGCCTTAGAACATAGTGCTTTTTATGCGGGAAACTCCTACACTAGACTCAGAGAGCTGATTAATCTGAGGGAGAATGCTAGAGCCTGAGGTACACTGAGCCATTGCCGGGAACACTGAGACCTGGAGAAGTCTTCTCAGGTCGAAATGCGGTGAGCGAGGAGTCTAAAAAATGCTCACGTCTCAAGTTCCTGGCAATGGCTCAGTAGGTACTCTTCCTTTCCGGGGGTCCCGCTCTGGCTCCCATGCGCGTACCTTTTAGCTCATTTCTTCTTGCGCCAGCTTTCTGCGGCGTTCCGCTTGAGGCGCTTTCCGCTCTCCCTTTGTTGAGCTCGCGCCACTTTTGATCCTTGGTGAGCAGGACGGGCAGGAGGAAGGCAAATCGACGGGCAAGAAGCACAAAGATGGGAAGAAGAGCCATCGGGTCCGTCCACGTGCCCTCTCGCATTCTCATTCCGCATTCGTTTTGCGCCCCAGCTTCATCTCCAATCCCTCGCACCTTCGTTCACGACCCCCTTTCCTCGCACCAGTTACAACCATCTCTCCATCCACTCGCGTCGCATTGTCTAGTATGGTATTGGGGCATCATACGTTTGTTAGAATACATGGCATTCCTCGTTTAGTTACTCCTGGCTCGTTTTTCTAGTATTCCTCACCGCTTCTCCTTCCTTCCGCCCTCCCCCCATCCCCGCCACTCCCCATCCCACTCCTCCCTTTTTCCACCCCCTGTCCATCCCCCTATTTCCCTCGCTCCCGCTTATCCCACCCATATCAACCCACCTCACCTACCCCGCTCACTCCATCCGCCTACTACCTTTTACAGAAGGAGGCATTGGAGGAAATGCGGGGGGATGTAGAGCGGTTGAAAGGCGAACTACAACAAGCAGCGGAGCAGTTCGCAGTGGCAGAGAAGGCCAGAGCCGATTTGTCGGTTAAGTATGAAATCCTGGAAAGGGGAAAGGCTGCTTTGGAGGGGCAATTTGAGGAGAGGGAGAAGGAGAGAGCGGATTTGGTTGGGAGGTTGGAGGAGTGTGAGAGGAGGTTGAAGGAGGAAGAGGAAGGGAGGAGGGAAGAAAAGCAGAAACGGAAAGAGGAGAAGGAGAAGCGGAAGGAGGAGGAGGGGAAGAGGAAGGAGGAGAAGAAGAGGAGGAAAGAGGCGGAGGAGGAATTGACACGTGTCCAGCAGCGATTGGAGGAAGCGGAGGCCAAGTGTGAGAGGATCGAGGGGGGGAGTGCTGGTGCAGCTGCAGCAGAGGAAGGGGGCGGGTCATTGGATGGAAGACAAAGTGAAGGGGGGGACGGAATCAGTGTAGCAAATGAGAGGAACAATGAGGCTAGTGGAAAGGTAAACCCTGGCATTGGCAGTGTACATGAGCTTGAAAACGAGGAGAAAGAGTCAAGTGCACGCTTGGCAAGCCTTGAACTGCGCGCCGTGAGAGCAGAGGGAGAGGCGGAGGGTTTGAGGCGTGAGCTGGAAGCTGTGAATGCCACGCTGGCAGGTACGAGTGCCAGGCTGGCGGATACGAGTGCCAGGCTGGCGGATACGAGTGCCAGGCTGGCGGATACGAGTGCTGAGCTGGCAGATATGAATGGACGGTGGACAGAAGCACAAGCACACGTGGATGAGTTTGGAGAAAGGGGAGTGAGGGAGAAGGGAAACGGGGAGGTGGGTAGGAGAGAGGAGGTGGAGCAGAGGTTGAAAGAGGCGGAAGCACAGAGGGATGTGGCTGATACGCAGAGGGAGGAGGCGGAAAGGCTACGGGACGAGGCAGAGAGGCGAAGGGAGGAGGCAGAGAGGCAATGGAAGGAGGCGGAGAAGGGACGAGAGGAGGCAGAGGAGAGGGCGAAGGGGCTTGTGAGTCGCCTGAAAGCTGCAGAGGCGGCAGCAGCAGGAGACACTATGGGTTTGAATGATGGAGATGCGCGAGTCGCTTCGGGTGAGAAAGATGACGTAGGAGGAGGGAGCGAAGAAAGGAGGAAGGGGCATGAGGAGAAGTGGAAGGGGAATGGCGGGGAGGGTGGGGGGGAGAACATGGAAGCAGAGGTGGAAGCAACACCTCTCTATCTTGAGGAGTGTCTCAAAGAGCCTCAGAAGGTGGAAGTGTTGCTTCCCAAGACGGAATCGTCACCTGGAAAGATGGACGTGGAAGCGGAGCTTCAGTTTCTGCGCAACCTGAGGGAAGATCTGGAGAGGGAGTTGGACTCTCTGCGCATTCTTCAGCTCGATTGCAAGCCACAGGCCGAGCCCCCTGTTGCTGATTTGGATAAGGCTTGTCTCGAATCTGAGGGAAACCAGAGTATGAGCCAGCATAGCAACAGCACCTGTGGCTGTACTTGTTGCAGCAGTTGTAGCTGCGGCTGTAGCACCAGTACCAGTACCAGCACCACCACCACCGCCGCCATTATCACCACCAGGAGCATGGCAGAGGCTGAAGCAGAGATAGAGCGACTGCAGGCCGTGAGAGGAGACCTAGAGAGGGAATTGGAGGACTTGTATTTGGAGTTGCAACGAGAGCAGGAGCTCTCAGCCGAAGCAAGCCTTTTAGCAGAGAAGGAGTGGGAGCGGCGGCAGGAGGCAGTGAAAATGCTGTCTCAGCTGGAAAGACAGCTAGGGGAGGCGTTTGGGGGAGCGGTGACTGTGGCTGAAGGGGGGGTGGTGGTTGATGCTAATGGAAGGCCGATGTCGCCGCTGGTGGGGAGTTTGAGTGGGCCGGGAGCGGTGGGGAGGGATGGCAGGGCAGGGGGAGCGGGAGGGGCGTTTGTGTCGCCGCTTGGCGGGCCGCGATTGGAGGGTTCTAGTGGGGAGGATAGGGAAAGCTGGCCGTATTTATGTGGTGGTGGGGAGGAGGGAGCGGATGGGGGAGTTGAGGGGGAGATGGGAGGAATGAGAAGGGTGCTGTTTGGAATAGAGGAGCACGGGGAGGAAGAGAGTGCAGCAGCGGGAGAAGAAGAACTGGCTTCTTCGCTTGCCGTAGCAGCCACAGGCACAGCATCAAGTGTGGTTGAGCGGTTTAGCTTAGAGAAGAAAGAGCTTTACAAAAGGGCAGGGGAGGGAGACGGGAAGAATGGGGATGGGGATGGGGATTGGGATGAGATTTGGAGTGAGGACGATGACGAAGAGCTTGAGGTGAGGCATAGGGAAGGTCAGAGGCAGGAAAAGGAAACGGAGGGGGTAGAGAAGAGGGAGGAAAGGAGGATGGAGCAGTCTTGGCGGATGGATTGGCCACGGTCACTCACGGATGGTAAACTGTCTAGTGAGGACGATCAGCGTGCACAGATAGACTCTGACCCAAATCACGGTCCCAACTCTAACAGTGAGGAGAATATCATCCGCAGTGGCGCCCCCAGCACCAGCACTAGCACCAGGCCACTGCTGCTCGTCCGCCCTCCCCCTCGCACGCTCCCTAGAGCCACATCCGATTTAGTCACATACGTGCGGGACGCCAAGACGGCCCTGCGCCTGCCCTCCTCCCCAGGAGAAGACGAGTTTTTCAGCACTAAACTGCCGGAATTGAGGAGGAGAATGACGGGTGAGGGGCCGCAAAACTCGCCTCATAGGTCCTCCTCTCCTGGGGAAGACGAGTTTTGTAGCGCTAAGCTGCCGGAATTGAGGAGGAGAATGACTGGTGAGGGGCCTTATAGATCATCTTCTCCTCGTGAAGATGATTTTTTCAGTGTTAAGTTGCCTGAGTTGAGAAGAAGAATGAGTAACTTTTCGCCCCTGCACTCACCCCTGGCCCATTTGAGAGGGATGCACCTGGATGGGGAAGGGGGCGCTGAGGTGGCAGCATCGTTTTCGAGGGGGATACCTGGTGGTGCCGCTGCTGGTGGGGGTGGGAGTGGTGGAGCTGGAGATGGTTCAGGTGGTTCTATTGTTTCAGGTGCTTCGTCAGGTGAAAACGGCACTCCTGGCTGTCGCGTAAAGTCTCGTTTGGCTAGCGTGGCTGAATGCAGTGGCGATGATAAGCATGAGGAGGGGGAGGCGGAGGGGGGGGCGGAAGGGAAGATGCAAGGGGAGGCGGAAGGGGAGAGGAACAGTAAGGGATCAGCCCATTGGGATGGGCAGGAGGAAGGGGATGGAGGTGGAGGAGGGAGGAGCTTTGCAGGAGCAGCAGGGGAAGCAGGAGGTATGGAGAATTGTTGGGTTGAAGCTGATGGAAAAGGCAGGGAGAAAAGAAGAGAGGATGTGAGAGAAGGGGGAGAAGTTGTAGCAACAGCAGGAGCAGCAGTAGTGGCAACAGCAGCTGGAGGAGCAGCAGGAGCCTCACCAGATGCACCTGTAAATGTTCCTCAAATCACCCCAGAAATGGATCACAGCAGCCTAGAGACGACTCAAATCAGCCGAAACGCGGGTCACAGCAGCCCAGACGCAGCCCCAGACATCACCCATAACGCATTCTCATTCACAGCCCCTGCAAGCCCCCATCCCGGCAGTATAGGCTCCTCTCTGAACAAGGCCTTCCGCCGAGCCTCCACGTACTCTGGCCGAGCCTATCCCGATCCAAACCAGCCCTCTTACTCCTCTACCACCACCCTCCTTTCCTCCCACTCTGCTCGTGATCTTTCCTATTCTCAAGATCCCTCCTCTCCCACTCGCACCACCAAAGAACCCTCTCCTCTCACCACCTCGTTTTCGGCGCTTGATGAGGCTTCTTCTCCCAACTCAGCCCGAGTAGTGTCCTATTCAGGGCAGCCCTTTTCCTATGCCAGTCAGATGGTCGTTGCTCCTAGGGAGGTGCAGGATGACTCTTCAGGGAGCTTCAACAGAGCTGTTTCCTACACAGGGGGTTTCAACAGAGCGGATTCGCACTCAGGTGCTTTCAACAGAGCGGATTCGCACTCAGGTGCTTTCAACAGAGCGGGCTCGCACTCAGGTGCTTTCAACAGAGCAAGCTCTTACACAGGTGGTTTCAACAGAACTGGTCCAGATGGGGGACTGCTGCTGACCTTCGGGGGACTATTAGGAGGAGATTTCTCAGCAACAGAGACAACAGGTGGAGCAGATGAGGAAGAAGACTTGGAAGAATTTGGGAAAGGAGAGGAGGAGGAAGAGAAGGAGTTGGTAGACGTTGGATTGGCTGATGATGAAGTCCAAAGCTGGGATGACTCTCTTTACAATATGCAGGAACTTTTAGCTAAGCACCAGACTGGTTTTCTCCATGTATTACTGCAGATGCTACAGCTGACAGTGGCGAAGCGGGAAAGCGAGTCAGCATCAGCCTCTGCCGCCGCTACAGCTGCCGCTACAGCCGTTTCGGCTGCTGAGAGGGAGAAAGCGGAGTGGGAGGTGGAGCAGGTAGTATCTGCAGTGTTCAGGGAGGTGCATAACGTGTTGCATGTGAATGGTGTGGGCAGGGTGAGAAGGAAGTTTAGAGGGGTGGCTAAGGAAGGGAACGCAGCAGCAACGGCTGCAGCTGCAGTGAAAGAAGATTTGGAGCTGTTGGTCCGGGCAGTTGAAGCGAAATCTCGGGCAGCCATGAGAAGAAATGCAGCTGGTCTGGTCCCTCCTGCTCCCAGGCGTCTAGTGAAGGATGGGAGTGGGAGTGGGGGAGGCAGAGGAGGAGAAAAAGGCGGTGGAGGAGGGTGGGGGATAAGCAGCAGCAACGGCATGTGGAGCATCGGGCAGAGTATCCAGTCGGCTGCTCTGTCTATAACTCGCTCTCCCTCTGTTGCCGCCGGTCCTTCTGTTGCCAGTACTCCTACCATGAGTAGATCTTTGTCAGCTGCTGAACCTCCTTCTGTTGTCTACTCAGCCGGGACTCACAACGCCTCACTGAGTATCTACAGAACAGCTTCGGTGGTGACGACTGAGGCGTCCACTGCTGGTAACACGCCTGTTGCGCATGTGGTTACCATCGCCCGAACCTCGTCCGCAGCCTCGGGAATGTCTACTGATGGTAACACGCCTGTGGCCCGGGCTGTGGGGGATATGGCAGGAGGAATGCCGATGTCCCATGGGGGAGCGGTTCAGATGGATGGCATGTCAGGGGAAATGGGTGGGGAGCGGTCAAGCGCTCTGACCATCTACCGAACGCCATCTATGGCTGAGATGTCGACTACTGGTAACACTCCAGTCGCGCATGCGGTTACCACAGCATTTGTCGGCGGGTTCAATGTATCGGGTCTCCTCGGGTTGGCTTCGGCAAGGCTAGCTGCGGCCACCTCTGCTGCTGCTACTCCGTCTGCTGCTGCTACTCCTGGTGCTGCTGCTTTCTCTACTACTGGTAACACCCCTGCTGCCTCAACTGCTGGTAACACACCCATCGCCCAAGCCTTGGGCAGTCCGAACCATTTTGCGAACAGTCATCAAGTGTCACCGGTAACCACCCCTGTAACCGTGGATGCTTCGACTGGTGGTAACACTCCTGTCGCACAGGCAGTCACTGCAAGAAGGAGTGGTGGTAACACACCTGTCGCACGTGCGGTTACCACAAGCAGCGGTGGTAACACTCCCGTTGCACGGCCGCTGACGCTGAGGGGAGGGGAGAAGGTGGAGCAGGAAAGGAGCGCAGAGGAGGAGAGGGGGGAGGGAGATAGAGGGGAGAAGTACGGGGAAGAGAGAGGGGGAGAAGGGGAGATGGAGGAGGTTTTGTTTGTGAGGGAGGTGGTAGCTGGGGATGTGGTGGTACACCACCATGTGGACTCTCTCACGCGCTCCCTCACAACTGCTTCCCCAAAACCCAAACCCTTGGGGCTGACTTTTGAGGCGCCTCAAAGAGCGCGCGATGTTGACTCACTCGCTCGCTCCTTCACCCCAGCTACTTATGAGAACTCTGAACAAAATTCCAATGCCTTTGACCTGACGGCAGAGACCCCTCCTGTGCTGGCACCTGGAATCAGGCAAGGAGGAGGGGAGCAGCGCTTCTTTCATCCTTTGACCAGGCAGGAAGAGAGGGAGCGGAGCAGGATGCAAGACGATGATTCGTTGCGCATTTTGAGACAGGATGCGTGGGGGAGGCGAGAGGCAGCTACCAGGCTGTATAGGGAAACCCCTGCTACAAGGCTGGATAGAGGGAGAAACCGAAGCTCGGAGGAGGAATATTCCCAGCCAGCTTCAAGGCTGGATGCCCACCCTTTGCCTGCTCGCCCCATGACCGCCGTGCCTAGAGATCGGTCCCACTACACAGCAGTAAGGGATGGGAGTGGCAGGCCGGATTTTGAGCCGGCTAGAAGAGCGATTGGGGGCGGGGCTAGCAGTGGGATCGGGAGTCGGCACCAGCCAGGTACCAGGCTGGATTCTCATCATCCCTGGGGGAGCCATGAGCCTGCTGCCAGGCTGGATACAGTGAGGAGTCAAAGCATAGACGAATACCACCAGCCCCGGCCGCTTGCGTGGGGGAGTCGTGAGGGAGATGGAGCTACCAGGCTGGATAGGGATATCCCTGCCAGGCTGGATAGGGATATCCCTGCCAGGCTGGATAGAGGGAGGAATCAAAGTTTGGAGGAGGAATATTCCCAGCCAGCTTCAAGGCTGGACGCCCACCCCTTGCCTTCTCGGCCCATGACCGCTCTGCCTAAATCCAGGTCGACTTTTGAGCCGGCTAGAAGAGCGATTGCGTCTGACGTGATTCTTGAGACGAATCATAGGCAGACTGATAGAGCAATTGCTTTTGATTCGCCCCAAGAGCTGTCTAGAAGAGCGATTGCTTATGACGCGCCTCAAAGGGTAGATGCTGCTGCCCACCCCTTGCCTGCTCGCCCCATGACCGCCCTGCCTAAATCCAGGTCGAATTTTGAGCCGGCTAGAAGAGCGATTGGGGGCGGGGCTGGTAGTGGGGTTGGGAGGGCGAGTGCGCTGCTGTACAGACCTGGAGGTCAAAGGGGAGGAGTGGGGGGACGGGGAGGAGGGAGTGGAGGGAGGGGTGGTAGGCAGGAGGAGCAAAGCACAGGCATAGGTAGTGAGAGAATACAAGGAAGGGGTGATTCAGCTGTTTTACCTCTGGACTCTGCTGTACCAGACCGAACCGCTCGGCTTGGGACCGAGGCTAGTGGTTTGGCGAGTAGCCGGCAGGTTTGGCAAGGGAGTGTTCGGGACAGTGGGTCTAGTTCTCAGGAGCCGCACAAGGGGAGTGTTAGAGATGGTGTGATGGAGAGTCTGATTTCCGAAGCTGCTGCAGCAGCTCAGGACACTGTTCGGGACATTGTCTCTTTCTGGGCGGCAGGTGCTACGGCAGGAGCGGCAGGTGCTGTAGCAGGTCGTGAGACTGTAGCGGCAGGAGCGGGTACTGTAGCACTGCCACGGAGGCCCGCTACAGCCGCAGCGGGCGGCAGGGTTCGTCCTGTAGGGGGCTGGCAGGGCTGGAGGATGGGAGGGAGAGGAGAGGGGTTGGGTGGAGTGGGGATGGGTGATGGGCAGGGAAACAACAGAGAGCAACCATGGGGTAGCAGGGCGGAGAGTCAAGAGAGAGAAGGGAGAGGAAGCAAAGAAGAACCATGGGGCAGCAGGGCACAGGTTCAAGAGACAGGAAGGCAGACGGGAAGGGAGGATCCGTGGGGAGGGTCGTATCAAGATAGACGAGGTTTGGGTGATAGAGGTGGAGTGGAGGAGAGGAAAGGTGGAGCGGATGTTTGGACGCTTGAGGAAGAAGAGGAGGTGGACGGGGAGGAGGGTAAGGAGGAGGATGGGGAAAGTGGTGAAGGGAATGTGCATGTGAGGCTTGAGAGGAAGCAGCAGCAGCAGCAGCAGCAACAGCAGCAGGATAAACATTCCTCCTCTGCCTCCTCTTCTGCCTCCCCCGCTGCCGCACCGGGTCTCTTTGCAAGTTTCCTGCCCAAGTCAGCGTCGGTCAGTCACGTTCGACGGGCGAGCATTCAGATCTTCGATTCGCTCACACACCTCACCTTTGGCTCTCCTTCTGCTGCTGTACCTGCTGCTACAACCGTTGCTACAACCACTGCTAGAGCCACTGCCAGCCCTGCTACAACTGCTGCTGCAACCGTTGCTACACCTTCTGCTCTAACTGCAGTTGCAGAAGCAACCACGACAGGTGCTGTCGTCGCTGCTGCTGCTGCTGCTGCTGCTGCAAGTTCTCCAGTCACAGCAGGTGACATAGCAGGTGACACAGCAGGTGACACAGCAGGTGACACAGCAGGTGACACAGCAGGTGACACAGCAGGTGACATAGCAGGTCATTCACACTCCCTGTTGCTAGAGCCGTCCAAGGTTGTAGCAGCTGTGGCAAGGGCTGCTGCTACAACCCTTGCAGCTGCTACAGGCGTTGGCGCTGGGACTCATGCTGGTCCAGGTGCTTTTTCAGGTGCTTTTCCTAGTAAATCTGGACCGTTGGTTTCCTCACCGGTCAAACCTCATCGCGGGATCGTGACTGTGGGAAGTTTTGTTGAGACGGAAACAGGGGTTTCAGAATGGTTGACTGGAAAGGTGGAGAAATTGACAGGGGCGGGGCAGAGGAGAGGAGAGGAAGAGAGGAGGGTGGTTATGGAATGGACTCAGGAGTTGGAAGAGGAAGGGGAAGAGGAGGAGAGAGCGTTGAGAGAGAGAAAGAGGGAGAGGAGGGAGAGGGAGGCGAAGGAGAGGGAGAGAGAGGAGGAGAGGAGGAGGAGGAGGGTGGAGGAAGTGAGGAGGAAGATGGAGGCAGCTAGTGAGGAGAGGAGGAGGAGGGAGGAGCGGGAGAGAAGAGAGGTTGCTGTAGGGGAGGAGGGGATTGAGGAGCAAGGAGGGAGAAGCCATCTGGATGCCACGTCAGGAGAGAAAAAGAAATTGTTCAAGGGAGGAATGGATAATAAGGAGAGGCTTTCAGGGGGTGTGGTGAAGGAAGAGAGTGACTCAGGTTTTGGGGGACGAGGTGTGCAAAGGGTGGTGGTGAAGCGAGGTTCGATGAAAGGGGAAGCGAGGGAAAGTGACAGCTCGAGTGAGGGAGAGGAAGGGTGGAGTGATATGGAGGAGGAGGAAGAGGAAGAGAAGGAGGAGGAGGAGGAGGAAGAGGAAGAGAAGGAGGAGGAGGGAGAGGAAGAGGAGGAGGATGGCGAAGCATCATGGAGTGCTGATGACGATAGTGGTGATGTTGACGCTGGGGGTGATAAGGAGGAGGCAGGGAGGAAGGAGAATGAGGAGGAACTGAGGAATGAGGAGAAAGTTGAGCTTGTAGTGATGGAAGTAGAGGGTCAGGCAGAAGAGATGAATAAGGTGGAGGCGGAGAGTGGGGTGAAGAGGGAGGCTAGGGATGGGGATGGTGATAGTGGTGGTGATGGTGGTCGTGATGATGGTGGTGATGGTGGTGGTGATGGTGGCAATGCCAATGGTGTTGATGGTGGCAATGCCAATGGTGTTGATTATGCTGAGGATTTGTGGAGTGATGTTGATAGTGGTGATGATGACGATGCTGATGACGATGCTGATGACGATGCTGATGACGATGCTGATGACGATGCTGATGACGATGCTGATGACGATGCTGATGACGATGCTGATGACGATGCTGATGACGATGCTCGAGGAAACGAGGAGTGGGGTGAGCAGGAGGATGGGGCAGAAGAACAAAAGGAAGAGGTGAAGGTAGAGAGTGGAGGAGAGAACAAAGTGGAGGGAGGGGTGAGGAGAGGAGCAGAGGTGGGCGAGGGGGGAGAGGAGGGAGGAGAGAAGAGAGTAGAGGGAGGGGCACGGAGAGGAGCGGAAGCAGTGGAGGGAGAAGAGGAGAGAGGAGGGAAGAGCGAAGAGGGAGAGGAAGGCAGGGGAGTGGAGGAAGCAGGGGTGGAAGGAAAACGGATCGGAAGTGCATCTGAGGTACTGGAGGGTACAGCCGGGGAAGAATTCTTTGAGGCGCCTCAAAAGGAAGCAGGGGAGGAAGGAAAACAGATCACAAGTGCATCTGAGGTTCTGGCGGGTAGAGCTTGGCAAGAAAGGGGGGTAGTGGAGGTCACTGAAATTTCAACACCTGTGATTCTCCTTACACCTGGCAGCATGATAGGTTCGCCTTCCGTGGCAGAGGCATTGGGTGAGGCGCCTCAGAAACCTGACGGCATGACAGGTCCCCCTTCCTTGGTAAACACGGGTTGTGAGGCACCTCAGAAACCTGGCAGCAGGATTGGTTCTCCTCCCTTGGTCGACACGGATTGTGAGGCACCTCAAAACCTAGGCAGCATTATAAGTTCTCCTCCCTTGGCAGAGGCAACGGGTGAGGCGCCTCAAAAACCTGACGGCATGATAGGCCCTCCTTCCTTGGCAGAAGAAATGGGTGAGGCGCCTCAAAAACCTGACGGCATGATAGGCCCTCCTTCCTTGGTAGAGGAACGATCTAGGGGCGGATTGGAGGAAGGGAAAGAGCAGGAGGAGGAGGTGGGGAAGGACGGGAGGGACGAGGACGAGTGGAGTGGGATAGATGAGGAAGATGAAGGGGAGGCAATGGGGGAGGCGTCTCGACAGCCAGGCAGCATGCTTGGTTCTCCTCTCTTGGTAGAGGAACCATCCAGGAACAGTTTGGAGGAAGGGAAAGGGCAGGATGAGGAGATGGGAAAGGCGGGGAGGGAAGAGGACGAGTGGAGTGGGGTTGATGAGGAGGATGAAGGAGAGGCAATGGGAGAGGCGCCTCAACAGCCAGGCAGCACGCTCGGCTCTCCTTCCTTGGAGGAAGGGAAAGAGCCGGAGGAGAAGGTGGGGAAGAATGGGAGGGAAGAGGATGAGTGGAGTGGGGTTGACGAGGAGGATGAAGGGGAGGCTGATGCAGAGGAAGGACAGCCAGATGAGCAAATGGAAGAGTCTGTTTCTGAGGCGCCTCAAGAGCCACCTGTCCGCTTGATTGGTTCTCCTATCCTGGTACAGGAGCGATCTGGGAGGAGTGTGGAGGAAAGGGAAGGGCAGGAAGAGGAGGTGGGGGAAGAGGGGAGGGACGAGGACGAGTGGAGTGGGATTGATAAGGAGGATGAAGGGGAGGATGTTGCAGAGGCGGATCGGCCGGACGAGCAAAAGAAAGAGTCTGTTTCTGAGGTGCCTCAACAGAACGAGGGACAGGATGCGAAGGTGGGGAAGGAAGTGGCCGATTGGAGTGGGATTGATGAGGAGGATGAAGGGGAAGATGGGCTGAAAGAGCGAAACGAAGAGTTTGTTTCTGAGGTGCCTCAGATGAACGAGGAGGGATGGAGTGAGAAGGAGGATGAGAGGGAAGAGGACGAATGGAGTGGGATAGATGAGGATGATGAAGGGGAGGATGGGGCGGAAGGGCAAAAAGAGTCTGTTTCCGAGGGGCTTGAAACGAACGAGCAGGGACGGAGTGAGAAGGAGGTTGGGAGGGAAGAGCAAAACGAAGAGGTGCCTCAAGCGAAGGAGGGATGGAGTGAGAAGGAGGAGGGGAGGGAAGAGGATGAGTGGAGTGGGATTGATGAGGAGGATGAAGGGGAGAATGGGCCGGAGGGGCAAAACGTGGAGCCTGTTTCTGAGGTGCCTCAAAAGAGTGAGAAGGAGGGGAGGGAGGAAGATGAGTGGAGTGGGATAGATGAGGAGGATGAAGGAGAGGATGGGTGTGACTCTGGTGATAGCTTGGGGAGTGAAGAGGATGAGGGTGGGGGTGGCGAAGAAGGCAAAGAGAGTGAGGATGAGAGTGGGAGTGGGAGTGGGAGTGACAGTGGGAGTGGGAGTGGGAGTGCGAGTGGAAGTGGGAGTGAGGTTGGGAGTGGGAGTGGGAGTGGGAGTGATGGGGAGGAGAGCACACTAGACATGAGCAGTGTTGGTACCATGGAACTGGAGGAGGAGAGCGACGAAGACGAGATCGAAGCGCCAGAGCGTGATGCGCGAAACAGTGAGGTGCGAGGGAGTGAGGTGCAAGAGAGTGAGGTGCGAGGGAGTGAGGTGCAAGGGAATGAGGTGCAAGGGGGTGAGGTGCAAGGGGGTGAGGTGCAAGGGAGTGAGGTGCAAGGGAATGAGGTGCGAGAGAGTGAGGTGGGGACTAATGAGGGAAGGAAGGGTGAGGGAGAGAAGAGTGACGGAAGGAATGGGGAGGGAACGAAGAGTGGTAGAAAGCAACAGGACCACAATGGCAGGGATGGGGAATGCAGCAAGCAAGATGATGCGAGTGATGTTGCTGGAGCGCCGCAAACAGAGGAGGCATGATGAGGTTGGTTCGTGACCATGACCTGGCCCATACTCATCCCTATACTCAAGTACCGGTAGCAGTCTTCTAGTGAGAGTTAGGGTTGCTGGTTTTCAGGATGTTTGTAGCAAGCTAAGCAAAGCTGTAGCAGATGTAGCAGCAGAGGAGCCGCATCCCATGCTGATGCTGATTAGCTGGAAGCGCCTGTAGTACCGTAATAAGTGTGTGTCTTGTTCTTTTGTCGGTGTCCAAAGTCGCCTTTTAAAATCCACCCTCGTAAATATTAAATTATTGAAATGCAACCATTGAATGGGAGCATTTGCTGTTTCCAATAGAAGCTTTTGCATCAGCTTGTTGTTCAACATACAAGTGGGGAGGTAGTGAAGCCTGCAACTTCATAAACATAAGAACCGGAACCGGTACGGTACCTGCAACTGCAAGCCTGGATAGAAGTACCAACTCAACATCACTTCACAAACACAGCTCACCCATATGATCACAATATCGTTAGGCACATTTCATCCACGTCTCCTAACATTGCAATTTTTGTTGTTGTGGGAAGCTACCTTGACACCATAATAGATTATAATCTACGTTGGTGCAAAAAGTATTTGATGCTAAAGAGAGAGTTTGCTGATAAAATTCTGTTACGGATCAATTTTACCACAGCACGAAAATAGCTGCACCTGGTTCGCAGCTGCCCAGGCCAGGGCGCCGACAAATTGATGTGAAAGGTATATTTCTGGATTGCGAGTTTCCCTGGCCTTGGGCGATATTTTGTGAGCAAGAGTGCGTGGTGGGGCTCAACATGCCGTAGGTAATCATTTAAAGCTCCGGTATACATTTGAAAGGAGAGGTTCAAAATATTTTGAAATTTGAAAAGTTGCCCCAAACCTGTGGGGCGCACTCCCTAAACCCGAAACCCTGCCGACAAATGTATACTTTCAGCTTTAATAAAGAACGTCCGCCGTCACTACATCGTGCCTGACGGCTGGCCGAGTCGAATTGTTCACTACTTGCGCGGCTCCCTCAAGTCCCAGCATTTCTCGAAGTGGACCTATATCGCCGCAAGACACGGCAGCCTCTTGGCAATGGCGGCGCGCTGAGACCGCATTCCTGCCCCACATCAAGCTCAAGGTGGAACCAATCTCGAAGAAATGCGTTCACGCATCTGACTTGAGTAGGGTTCAATTTGGTGTGCAACGGTCGTAAGTGATTGAAAACGAAAACCGAAGGAAAAGAAGTGAAAGCAAATGCACTGGTTAGGGTTGCTACACAACCCAAAAAGCTATCAGCGATTTTTGTCGTAGAGAGTGCTTTGTGTGGAAGCACAGTAGTTTAGTATCTGGCTGACCGACTAATAATGCTGTGCTTCACCCCGCACCAATAATTCCGTTCCGAGCACAGAGAGAAGATAGTGGTGCTATAGGGGAAAGTTCTGGGCTGAGAGTTGACGTATCTCGTTTCCAGCACTTGAAACTATTTAGACGGTTCCGACTCGGCGTCCCATAATGCTTACCCAATCTGACTAACTCAGTTCCAAGTCCCAGTTACATGCTCCTCACTGCCTAGCGGGAGCAGCCGTTTTTACCAGTTGCCCCTTCTTCTCAGTCTCAGCAGGCGCATCTATTATTTTCAGCATCTTCCTGCACTTCGCTGCACCTCACTGTAGCCAGACGTTCTGCGATCTGTTACGCATTCGCTTACCTGAAGCTCTTCTCGCTGCAAACACCTGCGTCAAACTAGCATTCGACGAGGAATTACTAGCACTTACGGCTGAAGCGGTGCTTTAACACTGGCAAGGCTGATCGTATCGTTTACGATGAAAAAAATGCGGAAAATTGCGTCGATTGTGCTCGTAGTAGTTCTTATGGTTGTCAGCTCAGGCCAAGCGGAAGCACTCCATTCTCTAGGTAAGATTCACCAGAAATGGTTTGCACGAAATGCTGCAAATCTGATATAATGCTGCTTCATTATGTCAGGTGCTTCTCAGATGGTTCCTGTAGCTAAGATCCTCGAGAAGATCGAATCTCAAAAATCTGATTCTCGCGCAAACATGTGCAGGAAATGAGCGACAGGGTCAGCGACGGATTCTGTCGCAGGGCTCGTCAAATTTCATTAAGAAGCCGACAATCTTCGTCACCGCGAGCGGCAGCAACGCGGAGTCGACCATTCGGAACGCGATAGCTCAAGCAGGCTCCAAGGTAAAACCACGAGTAATGACATCCTTCAGCATTCAGTGCTGCTTTTTCAAGCCTGAAATTTCAGAATGATTTCACTTCCAGTCTGTTAAACCTGCCACTCTTTTCATATCGGCGACACAGTTGTATATTCCTTTCGCAGCTGGGTATCCCGTACTGGATGGCATTACACCTTACATCCACACTTAGAGTCATTGCTTTCCATCTTACACCCATACCCGCATTTTCCGTGTCCGACAGACAGCCATGGTGGAGGTGACTCTCAAGAGTGACATTACTCTAACCAGGCAAGCACACGAAACAATTCTACAGTCCCTCCTACAAAGCAATGTCTACCATGCCGGTGCGCCATTGCACCTTAGAATATATCGGTACCACGTCAATAGTACTTCAGTGAGGATTCCAGCAGACGGTTTTTGCCCAAGCTCTGTTACGTGGTAACCTCACCTCGTTCCTCGCGTTCGTGTCCCCTCCTTTCGCCACGCTTGCTCCGCGCAGTGGGTTCCCTGCCGTCGGGTTCGCTTCCGGAATCATCTTGAAAGGCGCCTGTGACAACAGAAATAATAAAGTGTGAGTAGTGACATATGCTCCTTGGATGTTCCTCACTGTTACGTCGAGGTGATTTCTGAGTGGTGTGAGTGGTGACCTTCGTCTTTTGAGGCGCCTCAAAATTGCGGGTAATGAGACGACTTTTGAGGCGCCTCAAAATGTTCCTTACTGTTACGTTGAGGTGATTTTTTAGTAGTGTGAGTATTGACCTGCGTCGAGGAACAAACTCAAAGAGTCAGCGTGTGTCGTCTACCCTCCTCTGATTGTAAATCAGCGTGGTAGGAAGTTCCTTCTACGTCGAGTGCGTGCAAATCTTTGACATTCGCGATAGTCACCATTCAAGACTGGTACTCACTTTCTCATGACCTCCCTGTCAGCTCTCGCGCCTCGTTCACTCCGTTTCCCTCACACCCTTCCCCTCAAGCGATCCGTTCCTCCCGTCACGCCCCTCGCTGTCCTTCTCTCCCACCCCCAACCCCTCTCAGTTGCATCGTCGACGGTAACAAGAAGTTTCGCATATTCTCGGGTAACTTCGCGTGCGGCATCGTGCTGGAGAACCTGGTGGTGCAGCACGCGCTCAACGGCGTGCACGTGGGCGCGTGTCAGTTCGCTGCGCGCCGAGTCACCTTCCAACACAACGTCGCGGACAAGACCTCTACTGGAGGGGCGGTTTTCAAGTGAGTTGAGCACCTAGAAACGGCCTTGAAGAGTTTCTTTAAGCGCCTCAGAAACAGCACGCCCACCCGCTCCTGGCTCGCCCCTTGCGCGCCGAGTCACCATCTTCCAGAACAAGCGGAGAACCTGGTGGTGCAGCACGCGCTCAACGGCGTGCACGTGGGCGCCTGCCAGTTCGCTGCGCGCCGAGTCACCTTCCAACACAATGTCGCGGATAAGAGCTCCACCGGCGGGGCGGTTTTCAAGTGAGTGCTTGTAACGAACTGGGTCAGCCCAGTTGTTAGATCAACGAATCATGAACGAGCTAACAGCTGCGCGCCGAGTCACCTACCAGCACAACGTGGCGGATAAGAGCTCCACCGGATGAGCGGTTTTCAAGTGAGTGTCAGCTAGTGAGTGCCTGAACGCTTCAGCTAGTAGATTCGCGCCGAGTTCCCTTCTTCCAGCTTTTAAGGACAGCTCGCCTACCGCTGGATCGCCCCTGCAGTTCACCTGCTTCTTTCTGAACACGTTTGCTCTGCGAACAGGAGAGTGGGCGGGTCGATCACTCACAGTCTCTCGCTCCCCTCACTGTCCTTCGTATCTCCCACTAACCCCCCGCCAGCTCTAGGGACAGCTCACCCACGGCTGGCTCGCCCCTGCAGTTCACTTCCTGCTTCTTCCTCAATAACACCGCCGTCACACGTCTCTCTTCCCTACTGTCCTTCTCCCCCATCTCCCTTTTTCCTCTCCAGCTCTAGAGACAGCTCACCCACTGCTGGCTCGCCCCTGCAGTTCACTACGTGCGTCTTCCGTAACAACACCGCTGCCGGAAATGGCGGCGTTATCAACGTGGGGAGGGACCCCACGGGAGGGCCCGATGTGAAGATCGCTAAGTGCACTTTTAGTAAAAACTCAGCGGGAGGCAGTGGAGGCGCGATTTATTCCGAAGGGAGTGAGCTTTACCTGCGCCAGTCGACCTTCTCCCAGAACACCGCTGGTAATTACACTTGCTCATCAGCTGCTAGTAACGCACGTGTTACACATGCTCGCCTTTTGACCGGCTTTGTGGCATAACAGAATTGAGTCGATCTGTAAGCAGAACACTGCTGGCAACCACACAAGCTCATTTCTGACCCTGAACCACATTCTCTCGTCCCTCCTTCTCTTCTACATCCTCATTCCCCCCCTTCCCCTCGTCTCCGTCCCGCTCAGCTCGTGGCAGTGGGGCCATCTTCACCACAAGCCCCTACCTCACCTCCATCGGCACTAGATTCTCCGCCAACGCAGTGGTATCCATTGTCCCCCCCCCTCCCCCCCCCCCCCCCCCCCCCCCAACCCCCCCGTTCCCCCCAGCGCGTGGCGGCAGGGCCATCTTCACCACGAGCCCCTACCTCACCTCCATCGGCACTAGATTCTCCGCCCTCCCTGCAAGCGCTGGGCGCGGTGGTGCAATTCTGCAACTCCAACTTCCGCCGCAACAGGGCGCCGGTTTTCTCACCACTCCTCCCTCTCTCTCTCTCCCCTACTCTCCACCCCCTTCTTCCCCTCTCCTCGTCCCCATCCCTCTCAGGTCGTGGCGGCAGGGCCATCTTCACCACGAGCCCCTACCTCACCTCCATTTGCACTCGTTTCTCCGCCAACACGGTGGTAAACGGCCGAGGCGGTGCCATCTCCCTGCAAGCGCAGGGCGCGGTGGTGCAATTCCGAGGCAACTTCTAACCACTCATCCCCTCATCCCCTTTCGCAGCACGTGGCGGCGGTGCCATCCTCACAACTAGCCTTTACCTCCCATCCATCGGCACTCTTTTCTCCGCCAACACAGTGGTAAACGGGCGGGGCGGTGCCATCTCCCTGCAAGCGCAGGGCGCGGTGGTGCAATTCTGCAACTCCAACTTCCGCCGCAACAGGGCGCCACTTTTCTCACCACTCCTCCCTCACTCCCCTACCCTCCCCCCCATTCATCCCCTCTCCTTGTCCCCGTTTCCCTCAGCTCGTGGCGGCGGTGCTATCCTCACCACAAGCCCAATCCTCACCTCCATCGGGACGCGTTTCTCAGCCAACGCAGTGACAAACGGGCGGGGCGGTGCAATCTCCATACAAGCACAGGGCGCGGTGGTGCAGTTCTGCAACTCCAACTTCCGGCGCAACAGGGCGCCGGTGTATCCTGTGTCGAATGACATGAACGCCGGGACGAGTGACGGCACGGTTACCGCGTGTGGGAGCACGGGACCCAGACGGATCCGGAAAACGCCAGCGTTGAAAGAGATTCAGAGCTGCAGGTAAGGCTGCTGCCTCGCCCGTAAGAGCACTTGAGCCCTGGGAACAGGGAGAGAAGTGGTACCAATGCAAGCACAGGGCACGAGGGTGCAGCTGAGGCGATTTTTGAGTCGACTCAAAAATAGCCTCATCACAAGAGCACTTGAGCCCTGGGAACAGGGAGAGAAGTGGTACCAATGCAAGCACAGGGCACGAGGGTGCAGCTGGCTAAGCAGGGCCAAGTTCCGGAGATACAGGGCGCTGCTGCAGAACCAGCTCAACCCTGCTAAAGTGAACTGCGGCGATTTTTTAGGCTCCTCAGACTGCGGCTGAGCAGGGCCAACATCCGGAGGTACAGGGCGCCGCTGCAGAACCAGCTCGACCCTGCTAATGCCTGCATGTGATGGGTCTATTTTTAGTCGACTCTAAAATATGCTTCCGGAGTAGCAGGGCGTCGCTGCAGAACCAGCTCGACCCTGCTAATGCCTGCATGTGATGGGTCTATTTTTTAGTCGACTCTAAAATATACTTCCGGAGTAGCAGGGCGTCGCTGCAGAACCAGCTCGACCCTGCCAAGGCCTGCTCTGCACCTCATGCCCTCTGTTAACCTCCTCTCCTCCCCGTGTCTCTGTCGTTTCCCTCTCTCCCCTCGCAGTGGCTGCACGGGCTGCTCTGGCGATTGCAACGGCCGCGGCACATGTGCACTCGCCTCCGATCTCAACCCCTACTGCAAGTGCTAGAACCAGTTCGACCCTGCCAAAGCCTTACCCCACCCCTTCCCAACCCCTCCCCTCCCAGTGGCTGCACCGGCTGCTCTAACGACTGTAATGGTCGCGGCACCTGTGCGCTCGACTCGGATATGAACCCCTACTGCAAGTGCCAGAACCAGTTCGACCCTGCCAAAGCCTTACCCCACCCCTTCCCAACCCCTCCCCTCCCAGTGGCTGCACCGGCTGCTCTAACGACTGTAATGGTCGCGGCACCTGTGCGCTCGACTCGGATATGAACCCCTACTGCAAGTGCCAGAACCAGTTCGACCCTGCCAAAGCCTTACCCCACCCCTTCCCAACCCCTCCCCTCCCAGTGGCTGCACCGGCTGCTCGAACGACTGTAATGGTCGCGGCACCTGTGCGCTCGACTCGGATATGAACCCCTACTGCAAGTGCCAGAACCAGTTCGACCCTGCCAAAGCCTTACCCCACCCCTTCCCAACCCCTCCCCTCCCAGTGGCTGCACCGGCTGCTCGAACGACTGTAATGGTCGCGGCACCTGTGCGCTCGACTCGGATATGAACCCCTACTGCAAGTGCCAGAACCAGTTCGACCCTGCCAAAGCCTTACCCCACCCCTTCCCAACCCCTCCCCTCCCAGTGGCTGCACCGGCTGCTCTAACGACTGTAATGGTCGCGGCACCTGTGCGCTCGACTCGGATATGAACCCCTACTGCAAGTGCCAGAACCAGTTCGACCCTGCCAAAGCCTTACCCCACCCCTTCCCAACCCCTCCCCTCCCAGCGGCTGCACCGGCTGCTCTAACGACTGTAATGGTCGCGGCACCTGTGCGCTCGACTCGGATATGAACCCCTACTGCAAGTGCCAGAACCAGTTCGACCCTGCCAAAGCCTGCACAGTCTGCAAGCTTGGATACACGCTGGAGTCCAAGTGCTCTGCCTGTGCCCCGGGGTTCTTCTCCGGTCAGAAGGGGCGCTGCACCGTGTGTGGCACCGTGGATAAGGTGGGTGGCAGGGAGAATAGGGCGTGCGGGTGTGAGAATAAAGCATGTGAGAGGGAGGGACAAGGGGCACTGTGCACTGTGTGGAAAATGGGATACACGATGGAGTCGAAGTGTGTTGCCTGTGCCGAGGGGTTCTTTCTCCGGCCAGAAGGGGCGCTGCACCGTGTGTGGCACCGTGGACAAGTTGCGTGGCTGCGACTGTAAATAATGTGACAGTAAGGGACACAAGGAGCACTGCACTGTCTGCACTGCCTGCACTGCCTGCACTGTCTGCACTGTCTGCACTGCCTGCACTGCCTGCACTGCCTGCACTGCCTGCACTGTCTGCACTGTGTGCTGTGCAACAACGCCACACAAGCTGCTTCCTCCAAGCGCTGCCAGCAGGATGTGCCAGAGGGCCCAGAACCTCATCCCATTCCCCCCCTCCTTAACCCTCCTCTTTTCCGTTCCCCGCCCCCTGCCTCTCTTCCTTTGCACAAGCAGATTCAAGAGCTTACAGTCGAGCTCTCCAACCTCAACAACGCCACACAGGCTGCTTCGGCCAAACGGTGCCAGCAAATGTGCCAGAGGGCCCTGGCACAGCCCCTACCAGTGTACGAGCCTCACATTTCTCCCTCTACCCTTCATCCCCTTCTGCCTCTCTCCCCTCCCACAAGCAGATTCAAGAGCTTACAGGCGAGCTCTCTAACCTCAACAACGCCACACAAGCTGCTTCAGCCAAGCGGTGTCAGCACATGTGCCAGAGGGCCCAGTCACAGACGAAGCTGTACAAGAACTACTGCAACCTGTGGGCTTTCGTTGAGAACAGGTGAGTGTTGAGGCGCTTGAAAAGGTGAGTTTTGAGGCGATTTAAATGCCAGCAGACGTGTCAGCGGGCCGAGGCACAGACGAAGCAGTACAAGAACTACTGCAACCTGTGGGCCTTTGTTGAGAACAGGTAAGAGCCAGGTTCTGAGTCGACTCGAATGTAAGCAGATGTGTCAGAGGGCGCAGTCACAGAGGAAGCTGTACAAGAACTACTGCAATCTGTGGGCCTTCATTGAGAACAGGTGAGCGCCAGATCTGGATTCCCTGTTGTTGCAGATGCTTTTGAGGTTAAGAAAAAATCACCTGCAACAAAGCAGTGCCAGCAGATGTGCCAGAGGGCCCAGTCACAGACGAAGCAGTACAAGAAATACTGCAACCTGTGGGCTTTCGTGGAGCATTCTTGCACATTGTAATTCTATGTGCTGTTACAATTTTTCACCATCCAGAGGATTTTTTAGGTCCCAAAAAAACTATTCTTCCCTGCACCTTGCTATTGTATGTGCAGTTACAAGGTTCCATCCTGCAGAGGCAGCTGTCTTCTTTTCGATGACGAGTCTGAGTGCGGAGTCCGCAATGTGACTCGAGATGCGAAGAGGAACGTTGTCTACCAATTCATGGAGCCCAGTTTCCTGGCCTGTGACTAGAAGGCATCAAATCGCCCTTGCCTAATCCTCTAATTTCTCTTCCGGCCCACTGTTCCACGCATTATGATGCTACCGTATATGATGACAGCACCATAAGAAACCTAAGTTTCTTATAGTGCTTCCCCTGTGAAATCCTTGAAGTTTAGAGTTTGTTTGCAAATGTGAAGATAGAAACGTCTGTTGATGCGAGCCTGGCCACAGCATATAAGAATTATGCTCCTTTTGCTGAAATTGCAAGGTTATGGAACCTATAACCGCACATTGGTAGATGTGAGCTATGACTAATGTCCAAGCTTTGCGAGCTGTTCCCCAGATACAAGCCTGGCAGGGGAACAAACAGGATGCAACAACTCACAGGCACAACTCCTTTCGCGCCTGAGTGAGTAACGCTCACGAAAAACGCGATTTCGCAGGTACAGCACATTGGAATGTCGTCATCCAGTCAAGTTACGTGTAACAAGCGGCTTGTTAGAATCAAGGCTTTCGTCGGAGAATGACTGCCCCGCTCTCCCTTCCCTGTGATGCCTGTCAGTCACCCACCCACCACCGCCGATGCCGCAGAGGGATTTACGGTATGTGTGGTTGGATTGGGTCGAGATAAATGAGTGGCCATCCGTCTTCTGCTGCACTGATGTTTCAACGACACTGGCGTAATTTTCCATTGGGCATCCATTGCGGTTCGGTAGATTTCCAGGCGTTACAAAACGGTTATGGTTTATCACCATTCTAGACCGTAACACACCTCCTCATATTTTCAGTCGATTTCCCTGCTCGTTTTCACTCCCTTGTCACACATTCTTTGCTCCTAACTTACACTTCAGCTGCGAAGGTCATTCTGTCATTTGCGTCCTAGATTTTCAACGGTTTTACGTACGTGACTGGTGACGATAGGAAAAATTGTCCAGCAGATTGGAGTATTTTAACGGTTTAGCACGTGATCAACTAGGGTGCTAGCGGGATAAAGTTTCTTATCAGCAGTCTCGCATACTATTGTCTTTTTTAGCTATTATTTCTGTCTTCTTTGTTTATCTTTACGCAGGAAGGCGTGTGCTGCAGGAAATGACATAATTTGGCTCTGGGTCATCCGAGTACTAATTCGTTAGTCCTTACAACTTAGTGGGCATTAGTATTCAATATCGACCAAAACTCGCGCCTCTTTTTATCGTTTCGCCGTCTTCTCCTGCCACTTGCTTGAAGTCCGCCACTCAATTGGATGCGTGCTTTGAAAATGGCGGAACTTAAGACTCAAGAGTTCGAAGCAGATGGAGTCGACACCATAGTTACAGCAGACGACCGACCTTCACCGCGCAGCAAACCTGCGTATGGCACGTTCCTGCGAGGGATGTGGCCGTTCAGTCACAGCGCCAAGTATCACTCCCACAATAGTCACACTCCCAACGGTCACACTTTCGCGCACACTCGTTCTCTGAAAGAGACGATCAAGCACCACCTTTCTCCCGACCTCAAACCATCCGAACCTACAACTGGACCGTCGACCGAACCTCTAGCCGAACCAGGCACGCCGGAGCTACAGCAAGCGAGCCGTTCCCCTGGAAAGCGGGGTTTTCTCGGCCTGCTGCAATCCCGATCGCGCCGAGACCGATCCTCGTCCCATTCCTCGTCCCTAGGTTCGGAATCGAGCAGTGGGACTGGAGGGAAGTCTGTATCTGGACCGTCGACAGCCAGACGCAAAAGTGGGTCAAGATCGTCCTTTGGAAAAGAGTCAGGAAATGAGAAGGAAATTCAGGCGGGGGCTGGCAATTTCAGCAAGGCTGTTGACAGTGGCGCTTCTGCTGCGGCTGACCCGTCGCCGGACATGTCGCACGCGTCGCCATCCCAGTCGCACACGTCGCCGTCACAGTCACACACGTCGCCGTCACAGTCGCAGTCTTCGGAACTGCTGCTGGGAAACCCGCTCAAGAAAACCAACGTAAAGGTTTTGGACGATGACGAAGTTCGCCAGACGTTCGCAGGCCCTTCGCGAATGGAGGTGGACGAAGGGCCAATGCATCAAGGGCCCGCGGTTTCACAAGCGGATAACACGGAAGACGAAGTGACTAGTGCGAATTCTGTTAGCCATCTTGTCGGAGACAGAGAAAATTCATCAGTTGTGGAGGAGGAGAAAGAGGCTTCGGCGTTTGCCGCAGGTGTTGCAGCTGAAGCTGCTGCTGCTGTTGCGGCAGTGCCTGCTCCTCCTGCTGTGCCCCTTGCTGCTTCTGCTGCTGCTGCTGCTGCTCCCGCACCTGCTTCTCCTGCTGCTCCTCTTGCTGCTGTTCCTCCTGCTGTTCGTCTTGCCGCTGCTCCTCCTCTTGCTGTTCCTCCTGCTGTTCGTCTTGCCGCTGCTCCTCCTCTTGCTGTTCCTCCTGCTGCTGTTGTTCCCCCTGCTGCTGCTCCTCTTGCCGAGGCGAAGGCCGTGGAGCATGGTATGCTAGAACTGACCATGAATGAAGGGCCGGCTCACAGCAGCACAGAGGCACCACACGGCAGTGATGGCTTAGATGACGCTGGTGGGTCGTCACTGCTTGCGCCTAGTGTTACTGAAGGGCTGCCGCGAGTTATTGCTGCTGATCCTGCTCCTCCTGCTGCTTCTGCTCCTGCTGCTGTTGCGTCTGGTGCCGCCGCCGCTGCCGTCGCCCCTGCTGTTGCTGCTTCTGCCGTTGTTGGCACCGCTGCTGCTCCTGTGGCTGCACCTTCCTTTGACGCAGGGATTCCCGTTGCATCTGTGCCTTCGTCTGCTGCTTCTGCAGCAGCTGCTGCTGCTTCTGCAGCAGCTGCTGCTGCTTCGCCTGCTGCTGCTGCTTCAGCCGCTTCTGCTGTGGGAACATCTTCCCCTAATGCACTACTCCACGATGCATCTGTGAATTCTCCTGCTGCCACGTGGGCGGACGAGGGGGAGAAAAAGGAGGTAGGGGTGGAAGTAGAGGAGGAGGAGGAGGGAAGGAAGGATGGGGAGGAGGAGGAGCAGGAGGAAGGGGGGAGGAAGGTTGAGGAGGAGGGTGAGAGAGAGGAGGAGATGGAGGGACCGATGACGACAGAGATGGTTGAGGAGGAGAGAAAGAGGGAGGAGGAGATTGAGGTGGTTGAGGAGGAGACGAGGGGGAAGGAGGAGGGGGAAGAGGAGGGCGGAGGGCTTGTTACTGTGAGCATGGATATTTCAGCTGGTGGGGAAGATGGAGCAGGGGATGAAGGGATGATGGAAGAGGAAAGTGCGACAGAGCAAGGGGGTGCAACCTCTGCTGCCGCTGCTTCTGCTGATGCCGCTGCTCCCTCTGTTGCCACTGCTGATGCAGCAGCTGCTGCTCTTGATGCCCCAGCACACCCCTCACACGAACCTTCCACGTCTCTGGACGCATGTCTGCACCTGCTGATGAGCATAGACGAAGCTGACATGGCGGCAGGCCTGGTAGCTGCAGCAGGCCACGTGGCATGCGGGGACGCTGACGTGGTGCATGAGGTGTTTGACGCCCTGCCCTTCCATTTCGTTCGATCGCTGCTGGAAGAATCAGAGGGAGAGAGGCTTGAAGCAGCAGCACTGGGACCAACGCAGGATCCACCAACATCAGCGTCAACACCAGGACCAGCAGCAGGAGCAGCAGCAGCAGCAGCAGTGTCTGTACTCGTGGTGGTCACTCAGCAACCGGAACTGGCCTGTCTGCCTCCTGTGCTGCACCTGCTAGAGCCTCTCAGCCAGATTATCCTTCACGGGTGAGTGTTTGAGCCATGTCGAACTCTGCATTGGATTCTCTATCCTGCTGCTCCTTCCCCTCCTCCCTCCCTCCCCACAACCACATGCGCACTGTTTCTCTCTTCCAAGACGCCTGCCTGTGTGAGCTTGCTTGCCTCCTCTCTTCCTGTGTGTATGTATATGGTTACACATACATTACACATTCTGCTCCTTCCCCTCCTCCCTCCTTCCCCACAACCTTCAGGCGGACAGCCTCTCTCGTCCGAGACGCTTGCCTATGTGTGCTGGCGGTGGCGCGGGGATCAGAAGCAGGCATGCGGGCGTGCAGGGAGCAAGGAGTGCTTGGAGTGGCCGCCCGCTCTCTTGCTGCCATCACAGGTATTATGCCTCGTGCATTGGTTGGTGGGTGGGGCATGAGGGCATGATGAAGGGAGGGTTGAGAAGAGGGCATGCGGCATGCGGGCGTGCAGGGAGCAAGGCGTGCTTGGGGTGGTCACCTGCTCAATTGCTGCCATCACAGGTACCAACATAAGTGGCCAGGCACGAGGCCAGACGGGTGTTTGTGTGTGCTGGTAATGGCATGGGGATCAGAAGCAGGCATGCGGGCGTGCAGGGAGCAAGGCGTGCTTGGAGTGGCCGCCCGCTCTCTTGCTGCCATCACAGGTACCAACATAAGTGGCCAGGCACGAGGCAAGACGCCTGTCTGTGTGTGCTGGCTGTGGCATGGGGGTCAGAAGCGGGCATGCGGGCATGCAGGGAGCAAGGCATGCTCGGGGTGGCCGCTCGCTCTCTTGCTGCCATGACAGGTATGAGGGTCACCAGTGTCACAAACAGTGTCTGCTTTCACTGGTGTAGGCTAGGCGTCTGTCTGTGTGTGCTGGCTGTGGCGCGGGGATCAGAGGCGGGCATGTGGGCGTGCAGGGAGCAAGGCGTGCTTGGGGTGGGCGCCTGCTCTCTTGCTGCCATCACAGGTATTGACACACCACTTGTGACTGGTGCCATTGCTGCCATGACAGGTATCGTGACATGGCACATGCATGGGCGGTGGTTGGTAAAGCATGAGAGGTTATGAATGAAGGCTCAGAAGGAGGCATGAGGGCATGCGGGTGTGCGTGCAGGGAGCAAGGCGTGCTCAGGGTGGTCGCTTGCTCTCTTGCTGCCATGACAGGTATCGACTCATCACTTGTGACTGGTGCCATTGCTACCATGACAGATATCGTGACATGGCACATGCATGGGTGGGTGGTAAAGCATGAGAGGTTATGAGGGCATGAGGGCATGAGGGCATGAGGGCATGAGGGCATGAGGGCATGAGGGCATGCGGGCATGAGGGCATGAGGGCATGAGGGCATGAGGGCATGAGGGCATGAAGGCATGAGGGCATGCGGGCATGAGGGCATGAGGGCATGCGGGGAGAAGAGCATCTTGTGTTGACCGCACACTCTGTTAGCTCGTGTTGTGTTGTCACCATGAAACTCTGTTCACCCTTTTCCCCTTCACACATGTGTCATTCATACACCCCTCGTTGTTTGAGATTTTTCAATCCGATTCCCACTTCCCGTCCTTCCCCCCCCCCTCCCTTCCCCTTTTCCCCCGCCCCCGCCTTTCCCCACCCTCCTGTTTTTAACGCCTCTCTTAACTCTCCCTTTCCCTTCCCTACCCACAGACCCTTCCTGTTCAGCTCTTGCAACGGACCTGCTAAGCGTTCTGGTCAATGCTGCATCTCCCCTCGATATCTCCCAACACGGAGACTCGCTTGCTGCTGCTGTGAGTTCCCCCCTGTCCCCCATCCCAGTTCCCTTTTCCTCCTCCCCCCGTCACCATTTCTTGTCTCAAAATTCACCAAACTGTTCCTATCATGCTCCTTATGCAAGCAAGCAGGTGCTAAGCTTCCGTGTTGCCTCTGCCCCTTCTCTCAATAGTTCATTCATTACCATCTGCTTCTCAGGTGCCAGGCCTAGCAAGGCAGCTCGCATTCAGTGAAGACAGCAGCAGCAAGCACAAGATAGTCACCCTGCTGCTCATTCTTGTCTTGACTACCACTCTGTTCTGTTACCCTCTGGTTACCATCTGCTTCTCAGGTGCCAGGCCTAGCAAGGCAGCTCGCATTCAGTGAAGACAGCAGCAGCAAGCACAAGATAGTCACCCTGCTGCTCATTCTTGTCTTGACTACCACTCTGTTCTGTTACCCTCTGGTTACCATCTGCTTCTCAGGTGCCAGGCCTAGCAAGGCAGCTCGCATTCAGTGAAGACAGCAGCAGCAAGCACAAGATAGTCACCCTGCTGCTCATTCTTGTCTTGACTACCACTCTGTTCTGTTACCCTCTGGTTACCATCTGCTTCTCAGGTCCCAGCCCTAGCAAGGCAGCTCGCATTCAGTGAAGACAGCAGCAGCAAGCACAAGATAGTCACCCTGCTGCTCATTCTTGTCTTGACTACCACTCTGTTCTGTTACCCTCTGGTTACCATCTGCTTCTCAGGTCCCAGCCCTAGCAAGGCAGCTCGCATTCAGTGAAGACAGCAGCAGCAAGCACAAGATAGTCACCCTGCTGCTCATTCTTGTCTTGACTACCACTCTGTTCTGTTACCCTCTGGTTACCATCTGCTTCTCAGGTCCCAGCCCTAGCAAGGCAGCTCGCATTCAGTGAAGACAGCAGCAGCAAGCACAAGATAGTCACCCTGCTGCTCATTCTTGTCTTGACTACCACTCTGTTCTGTTACCCTCTGGTTACCATCTGCTTCTCAGGTCCCAGCCCTAGCAAGGCAGCTCGCATTCAGTGAAGACAGCAGCAGCAAGCACAAGATAGTCACCCTGCTGCTCATTCTTGTCTTGACTACCACTCTGTTCTGTTACCCTCTGGTTACCATCTGCTTCTCAGGTCCCAGCCCTAGCAAGGCAGCTCGCATTCAGTGAAGACAGCAGCAGCAAGCACAAGATAGTCACCCTGCTGCTCATTCTTGTCTTGACTACCACTCTGTTCTGTTACCCTCTGGTTACCATCTGCTTCTCAGGTGCCAGGCCTAGCAAGGCAGCTCGCATTCAGTGAAGACAGCAGCAGCAAGCACAAGATAGTCACCCTGCTGCTCATTCTTGTCTTGACTACCACTCTGTTCTGTTACCCTCTGGTTACCATCTGCTTCTCAGGTGCCAGGCCTAGCAAGGCAGCTCGCATTCAGTGAAGACAGCAGCAGCAAGCACAAGATAGTCACCCTGCTGCTCATTCTTGTCTTGACTACCACTCTGTTCTGTTACCCTCTGGTTACCATCTGCTTCTCAGGTGCCAGGCCTAGCAAGGCAGCTCGCATTCAGTGAAGACAGCAGCAGCAAGCACAAGATAGTCACCCTGCTGCTCATTCTTGTCTTGACTACCACTCTGTTCTGTTACCCTCTGGTTACCATCTGCTTCTCAGGTCCCAGCCCTAGCAAGGCAGCTCGCATTCAGTGAAGACAGCAGCAGCAAGCACAAGATAGTCACCCTGCTGCTCATTCTTGTCTTGACTACCACTCTGTTCTGTTACCCTCTGGTTACCATCTGCTTCTCAGGTCCCAGCCCTAGCAAGGCAGCTCGCATTCAGTGAAGACAGCAGCAGCAAGCACAAGATAGTCACCCTGCTGCTCATTCTTGTCTTGACTACCACTCTGTTCTGTTACCCTCTGGTTACCATCTGCTTCTCAGGTCCCAGCCCTAGCAAGGCAGCTCGCATTCAGTGAAGACAGCAGCAGCAAGCACAAGATAGTCACCCTGCTGCTCGCCCTGCTCTCGACAACTCAACAACAACAACAGAACCACCGCCCTGCATTGCCTAGCACTACTCAAAGCACCGCTGAGCAGGAGCAGGGACTGGTTCAGCAGGGCTTGAAAAGCCTTGAGCCTTTAGTCGCGGGTCGAGTGTGGGCGGCAGACCTTCGGGGGGGCATTCAGAGTATCCTCTTGTCTACCACTGGTTAGTGCTGCCCTCTTTCCTCTTTATTTGTTGCGGTTCCTCAGCTTACTGAGGCTCCTAAACCCTACTCTCTCCTTTCCTCGTTCTGCATCTGCCCTTGTTGCAAGCTCCACTGCAATGCCCACTTTTTCTTTATGGAAAGACAGCTGAGGGCTCCTTAGGTTGGTGGTTGACGCCACCATGAAAGTCACCTGCCTGCATAGACTCTGATCTGGAGAGTCTTGATTCCTTGATTCCATGCTTGCTGATTGGTTGTCGGCAGCAAAGTTGCAGATTGTTTCAGTTGCATGGCAGCAAAATACACCCTCATTTCCCCCCTCTACCCGTTTTTCTCCCCTCCCCTTCCCGCCCCCGCTGCTTCCTCTCTGCCAGCATCCACCGAGAGTCAGCAAGACGCTTTTCACCTGACTCATGTGGTTACCAGCATTCTTGGAGATTCTTGGCTCGCTGGGCCTCCTGAAAATACACCTGAGAATTTCCCTGACTCTTCTCCTCTGGAAAATGTTATGGACTACAGGTAATAAGACTCTTCGAGTCTATATTACCTTGATTCTTTGGCCGGGTGCTTACATCTACAAACAACCTACAACCATTGTTTGTTTGTTTGTTTGTTTTTTGTGTTCTTTTTCTGTGATTCCAAGAAAGATATTATTTCCTGCCCTAACCTCGTGCCCCTTTCCTACCCTCCTGCTCCCCCTTCTCCCACTCCAACCCCACTCCCCATCCCTGCTCCAACCAGCTTTGTGCTGGCCCTCTTGCGAATAGCAAAGCAGGATATTCCTTGTCTTCTCGACACCCTAGCTCGCCTTACAACTGAAATTGACCCCGTCACTGACCCCAATGCTGACCCCGATACTGACCCCGGAACTGACCCCGAGACTGACCCCAGTTCTGACCCCATTACTGAAACCATCACTGACCCACATCAACCAGAAGACAGCTTAAAGCAGAACAGCATGCGAGAGAGGAATGGGGAAGACTGTAATGGAGAAGCAGCAGAGAGTGCAGAGAGTAACACTGAGAGTGGTAACCACATGCTCAATGGTAACCGCACTCTCAGTGCTGGTAACCACACGTCTGCAATGGATACAGAGGATAGCAGTGGCAGCAGAATCAGCACTATCAGCACTGGCAGCAGCACAGGGATAAGCAAGCTGCATAGCACTAGTAAGGGCGAGCAGAGCATTCCGAGCAAGCAGAGCGATCTGAGCAAGCAGAGTAAGCTGAGTGGCAGCAGCTGGGCGGATCAGAGCAAGCTCAATGCGGATGCTGCTTGGGCTGCCCTAGGAGGCAATCTAGACCGTTTCGGGCCTGGAAACGCAGGAGTTCTGGGCGGTATAGGGGCCAGTGCGGGAGGTGGAGGAGGAGGAGGGGGAGGAGGAGGGGGGTTGGGGAGATCTGGTGGATTAGCAAGAGGAGGGGGTGGCTTGGGTAGGTCTGGGGGAGGAGGGCTTATGAGGAGTGGAGGGCTAGGGGGAGGCGTAGGGGGAGGGTTAGGGGGAGGGGGAGGGGGAGGGGGAGGATTGGATAGAATGAACTCTATAGTGCCTACGAATGAGGATTGGAGGTCTGTGGTGAAAGATATGAAGGATGCGATATGGGAGCCTCCTCCTAACGCGGATGGGGGGGCAGGAGGTGGGGGAGGAGGTGGAGGAGGGGGAGAAGGAGGGGAGGGTGGTCTGGGGGAGCTCAGTATAGAAGAGTTTGCAGCTATGGAGGAGGATGGGGGAGGTGCGGAGGATAACGGACCTCCGGATGAGGTTCGGCAGGCACAGCAGCGGCTGGATCGGTGCTTCGGACTGGTTGAAGCAGTGGTGGGCTTACTAACGAAAGCTGGAGAAAAGGCTGCAGGGGGGGAGGCTGCTGTATCAGCTGAAAGGCAGACCAACGGGGTGTCTCTAGGGCATCTCTCTGAAAGGCAGCTCTCTGTAAAGGAGCTATCTGTAAGGGAGCAATCTGTGAGGCTCAGGCTAGGCACAGAGCTGGTAGATGGAGCATTGAAAGACGTCCTAGTGTTTCTGCAGCTGGCCCAGCAGCGAGAGTGGTGGTGTGGGGAGGCGGTGGTGGCGTGTGTGCGCGTGGCGGGGGCGTGCCTGGCTGCTGCGCCCTCGGCTCACAGGAAGAGGGCTGGGCGGCTGCTGGGGTTCCTGCTGGGAGTGACAGGCGCACAGGAGGAAAGGTGAGTGGGGGACAAGAAGGGAACTGGGCTTGGGCAGGAGTGGTGGTGTGGGGTGGGGAGGCGGTGGTGGCGTGTGTGCGCGTGGCGGGGGCGTGCCTGGCTGCTGCACCATCGGCTCACCGCAAGAGGGCAGGGCGGCTGCTGGGGTTCCTTCTGGGAGTGACAGGTGCGCAGGAGGAAAGGTGAGTGGGGGACAAGCAGGGGACTGGGCTTGGGCAGGAGTGGTGGTGTGGGGAGGCGGTGGGGGCGTGTGTGCGTTTGCATTTGAGTCGACTCAAACACAGCAGCAGGAGTGGTGGGGTGGGGAGGCGGTGCTGGCGTGTGTGCGCGTGGTGGGGGCGTGCCTGGCTGCTGCGCCCTCGGCTCACCGCAAGAGGGTCGGGCGGCTGCTGGGGTTCCTTCTGGGAGTGACAGGCACGCAGGAGGAAAGGTGAGCACAGGCCAAGGAAGAGTGGCTTGGGAGAAAACAGGGTGGTGGGGGCGTGCCTGGCTGCTGCACCCTCGGCTCACAGGAAGAGGGCTGGGCGGCTGCTGGGGTTCGTGCTGGGAGTCACAGGCGTGCAGGAGGAGAGTTGAGCACAGGGCAGGGGAGAGGCTTGATCGGGGGTTTGGAAGGGGTTTGTGGGAGGGGGTTTAGTAGGGAAGGGAGCAGAGATAGGGGTGGGTTCTTTCCTTACCATTCCTTGCCTGTTCTTATCAATCCCTACCGCTCTTCACCTCTCCTCCCGCTCTGTCCCTCAATCCCAGGCCATTCCTCCTAGCTGTATGTTACCTGCTGTCTGCACTGTTGTCAATCCCCTGTGCCTGTGGCACCACTCACATTTTCTTACCTCTCCTTACCATTCTATACCTTCTTCCACCCCTTGTCACACCTCCAGGCCACTCCTAGCTGTGCGGTACATGCTGCCCGCGTTGGTGCATATCACCAGTGAGCCACGTGGCTGCACATCATTGGTCAAGAGAGGAGGCCACATCCACGTGAGTAGACCCTTTTCTTTCTTTCTTTCTTTAGTAATTCTGGCATCCTACCTCCCTGTTTTGAGGCGCCTCAAAAGTAATTCTGGCATCCTACCTCCCTGTTGGGGTGACACGAGCTGGTTTTTGAGAATTCTCAAAACCCAGCTGGCATCCTACCTCCCTGTTGGGGTGACTCTAACATCCTAGCGTGCACCTCCTGATTAAAAGACATTCCAGCGAGCAGCAGTTAAATGGAGAAGGTTTAGCAAAGGAGAAAACAGTTTTAACTGCTGCTCGCTGGAATGTCTTTTTAAGCATCCTACCTCCCTGTTAGGGTGACTCTAACATCATAGCGTGCACCTCCCTCCCTCGTGTAGTGAGTCGAGTTTTGAGTCGACTCAAAGTTCTGGCATCCTACCTCCCTGTTGGGTTGACTCTAACATCATAGCGTGCACCTCCCTCCCTCCCCCCCCTCCTCCTCCCCCTCCTCTCTCCCCCGTTCTCTTGTCAGCTCATAGATTACATGGTGGAAACAGCACGCACCAACATGCACCACCAGCTGCGGTCGGGACCTGAGGGGCAAACCAGCCTCATGCAGGCTGCTGACGTCATCCTCAACATCTTCGCATGTGTACGTGCATGTGGTTCACAGCACTGTCATGACTTTGCATCCACTTGCCTTCTGTGTCCCTCCCATGTATCTTATCTGCCTCTCCTATGCCCTTCCCCTCCCCTCTGGCAGCGGCAGCACTTGCGAGAGAGTTCCCATGAATCCGCATGGCTTTGCATCCACTCTCTTTCTGTTTCCCTCCCATCTATCTTACCTGCCTCTCCTCTCCTCTCCTATCCTCTCCGCTTCCCCATTCCCCCCCTTGCAGCGGAAGCAAATGCGAGTGCCCCTGGATCCGCACGACTTTGTGCCGCTGCTGCCTGCCATGGCCGGATGGAGCAGCGTGAAAGGTGAGCCATGGAAGTAAAAGGTAGCCAAGCTATATAACCCAGGCATTGCGAGTGAAGTCATTCCCTCGCCATTGGATACGCACGACTTTCTGCCGCTGCTGCCTGCCATGGCCGGATGGAGCAATGTGAAAGGTGGGCAGTGTGGATGAAAGGTGGGGATGAACGGTGAGCAGCCCTCATAGCGTGTAGCGGGTTTATCCCCTTGTCGATGGATCCGCACGACTTCGTGCCGCTGCTGCCTGCCATGGCTGGATGGAGCAGCGTCAAAGGTGAGCCGTGTGAAAGGTGGGGATGAGATGGGCTGTGGGTAAGGTGAGGAATGGACAGCAAATGCGAGTGCCCTTGGATCCACACGACTTTGTGCCGCTACTGCCTGCCAGGGCTGGATGGAGCAGCATGAAAGGTGAGGAGCAGTGGGGTTGAAAGGTGGGGATGAACGGTGAGCAGCCCTCATAGCGTGTAGCGGGTTTATCCCCTTGTCGATGGATCCGCACGACTTTGTGCCGCTACTGCCCGCCATGGCTGGATGGAGCAGCATGAAAGGTGAGGCAGCATGAAAGATGGATCACACTTCTCACTGCCTCGTGAGTAAGCCATAGCCCCAGGCAGTGCAAGTAGGGATGAGCATGGAAACGAACACCTGTTCGAGGCGAACCGAACAGGATTTTTTTTTGGCTAAAAATGTTCGGGGCGAACGTGTTCGGTGTTCGCCCCGCTTCTGCTGTCGAGCCGCGTCGAACACGAACGCGTTCGTGTTCATTTCGGGGAAAAAACGAACACGAATGTGTTCGACGCGACTGTCCCGCGATCTACAATTTACGTTGCGGGACATTCTGTTTGAGCTCAAATTTGAGCTCAAACTTAGTCGCGCTATTCAGCAGCAGCCATTACTACCACGCCCCCCACACA